CTTGAAGACAGGCGGAGAACCTGGCGGCCGCTTCACCCTGAAAATCTACATGCCATCGACGATGTTCGCCCCAGGAGGGGGAACCTCATCGACGTAAGTGCCTGTGGACTTCCAAGATGCCATCTCTGCATCCATGGCTGCCTGCCACTGAGAGGAGTAGGGGCCCGCGATCGCCTCAGCGTAAGAGCGCGGGGTCGGGATGTCTATAGCATCCGGGTCTCCCTCAGGGGCAAGCAGCATGGCCACGAGATGAGGCGCAGCGGCCGCAAGACACTCAAGGTCCTCCTGCCTGTCCTCAAGGACGTCCGTGCCAAGAGCACACTCACCCCCGACGGACGGAGGACAGACAGACTCAGACTCAGCAACTAGACTGGCAGCGTAGTCTAGACGACAGGCAGCAGCAAAGTCGACAAGCTCAGCGACCAAGGCAGACGCAGCAGCGGACTCAAACGACGGGTCAGTGACAACAGTGGCTAACAGACGCGTGACTGTAGGGTGCTCAGTACGAAACTGGTCAGACTCAGGGTCCGCAACGTCAGGCAGAGAGGACGCAGGAGGAGACGGCAAAGGAACAGACTGCGGAGCAGAGAAAGGACGACGGACGACGAGGTGCGCGCCTGGGACAGCCGGCGACCGCGGACGAGCAACAAGACGACCGGTACGACCAGAATGAACAGGCGAGACAGGACGCGACGCAGGCTCACGACGCTCAGTAAGACCTCCTGGCTGCTCAGTGTAAGGAGAAGGAGCAGGCAGCGGTGAGCCAGGTTGTAACGAAAGACCAGTAGAAGACGGGAGGCTGAGAACCTGACGAAGTACAGTGTCAGGCGGTGGCTGAGACGACGGAGACGGTGGAGCGAAGAACAGTCGCGGGGGTGCAGTGCCACCAGCACCAGCAGCTCCAGTACCTCCAGCAGCTCCAGAACTCCCAGCGCCAGCACCTCCAGGACCAGCTCCACCAGCAGCAGCACCCCCAGACCCAGGGTCTCCAGCCTCAGTGTCTCCAGCAGTAGCACCCGCAGGCTCAGCACCTCCAGCCCCAGCAGCTCCAGTACCTCCAGTACGAGCACCTCCGGGACCAGCAACTCCAGCACCTCCAGTAGACAAAGGACCAGTACCACTCCCAGCTCCAGCAACGTCAGCAGCAGCACCTCCAGCGGCAGAACCCCGTGCTCCAGAAGCGCGACCCTGACGGCGACCGTACCAGTCGTGGAGCTGCTGTGACGTGAGAGGCACATTCGGACGATGGCGGCTACTCCAAGGAGACCGCACAACAGCAGACTCAGAACCCTCAGCGCCAGCACCCGCAGCAGCTCCAGAACCTCCAGCGCCAGCACCCGTAGCAGCTCCAGAACCTCCAGCGCCAGCACCCTCAGCAGCTCCAGAACCTCCAGCTCCAGCGCCACCAGCGCCAGCACCTCCAGCAACTCCATTACCTCCAGCAGAAACAACTCCAGTAGCAGAGTCACAAGCTCCAGCGCCTCCAGCAGCAGGGCCCCTAGCTCCAGCAGCGCGACCCTGACGGCCAACGTACCACTCACGCAGCTGCTGTGGGGAGAGAGGGAGTAGACGACGAGAGTGCAGCGGCGAGACACCAGCGGAGCGACTACGGAGACGGCCGCTCCAGGGAGGTTGCTCACCAGACGCCTCAGCGCCCCCAGGTGCAGCACCCCTAGACTCAGTACCCCCAAGCTCAGCACCCCCAGACTCCTCACACTCAGGCTCAGCACCTCCAGGCTCCGCACCCTCAGGCTCCGCACCCCCAGGCTCAGCACCCCCAGGCTCCGCACCCCCAGGCTCAGCACCCCCAGGCTCAGCACCTCCAGAAGTAGCACCCCGAGCAGGACCACCCTCAGTAGGACCTGAGTCACCAGTGACCTCAACCGGCGCAGTCAAGGGAGGAGGGTCAACCTGAGACACACCTGAAGGAGCAGGACCGGGAGCGGGGAGGGGGTCTACCTGGGGAGCACCTGGAGCGAGGAAGAGCGGCGGGGGGGGGGGAGAGGGGTAGTGCGGTAGGGGAAGAGACGGTAAAAGGGAACCGACTCGTCGAACGTGACGTCCTGAGAGGGGAAGACACGGCGCGAGGTGGGGTGGTAAAACTGCCAACCAGGCGCGTCAGGGACAAAGCCAAGGAAGACATAGGGAACAGCGCGGGCGGAGAGCTTGTCCGCGGTGGTATCGCGGACAAAGGCACGAGCACCCCAGACCCGGAAACGCGACGCATCACCAACCTTCCCCGTCCACAGCAGTGTGGGCGAGGTCTCCGGCAAGGAGACACGGGGCTAGAGGTTGAGCTGATGCGCAGCGTACCTGACCGCAAACGGCCACAGAAAATGGCAGGCAGCCGCATGGATCATGGAGGTACGAGCGACCTCCATAACCAAGCCAATGCGGCGCTCAGCAACCCCATTCTGCTGCGGAGAGGCTGGAAGCGTGAACGTCTGGCGGATGCCGTGCTCCGCACAGAAGGCTGCCAAGAGGTCTGAGGAGAACTCACCACCTTTGTCAGAGTGCAGACGCAGGACGGGAAACTCCGTCCCGAACCGCTCGCGGAGCTGGAGACGGGCAGCGCGGATCCAAGGGATCAAAACATCAGGGACCTCCCCCTTGCGCTGCAAGGGGAAGACCGTGGTGTAATGCGTGTAGTCGTCGACGACCAGCAGGAAGTACCGCTCGTGGCCCTGTCCACGGACGCGGGCTGGGCCCCACACGTCCAGGTGGAGAGTCTGCAGGGGAGCCTCTGTGGGAGGGAACGAGGAGGAGTGAGGAGCGGCGCGCTGCCGCCCCTCGACACAGGGAAGACAGGGAGGAGCAGGCGAGGGTGGGAGGGGAGGGAGAACCCTGGGAAGACCAGAGACAAGGACACGGCGGTGCATGCTACGAAGGCGCTGCACCGAGGGGTGACCAAGGCGGTGGTGCCAAAGGAGGGTCTGGTGCGACAAAGCGCGACACGAGCAGGGGGCCGCTAGCTGACCTGACGCAGACGCAGACGCAGCTACATGAGGGGACTCAGTGGTCAGTGTGTACAGACTCGAGCCAGGCGCACGGGTAAACGTGGCCAGGTGTCGGCCCGTTGGAGCACACGTACAGTGAGTCACTCGCTGACTCGCAGGAGTGAACTGGTCAACCCCGCCATCCTGGAGGTCAGCTCCACTCACCAAGTTCGTAGAGAACGAGGGGAGGTAGAGACCTGACAGCGAGCCAGACGGGGCGGCCGGACACGGCAGAACCGTGGAGTAGTGGGCAAGGACTAGACCCCCAGAGGGGTCCGCCAGGGAGACTGCAACTGGCCGACTAAGCGGCGTGAGTGTGGTGCAGTCGCGAAAGAAGGAGTGGGAAGCTCCTGAGTCAAGGGTGAAGGTGTGCAAGACCGCAGCAGGCGCAGTACCAGAGAGAGCAGACTCACCAACACCTGAAGCAGCAGCCTCACCAGCACCTAGAGCAGGAGACGCACTAGCACCCAGAGCAGCAGCCTCACCAGCACCTAGAGCAGAAGACGCATGGCATTGAGAATAGCATCATATCAAGAGCAAAGATATCTACCCTCTGCCTAAGCAGCTCCAGCCAGGTGGGGAGCTCAGCCTCGTCGCCAAACTCGGTACGCCAGGCGTCGCTCAGACGGGCGAAGCAGCGGGACTGTGTGTGACCAAGCGTCCCGCAAGTCTGACCAGCCCGATCACCTGTGCGAATGACGTACGGGCAGCGAACGGTACTCCACGACCCTCTGCTCTGAGCGTACCACTCGTGAAGCTGCTGGGACGTAAGTGTCTCGCGTGGACGCCGCTGCAGCTGGCCACTGCCAGACGCTCCCAACTGACCAGCTCCAGGGCGACAGCTACGACGGCTACCGCCACAACCCCAACTAGCGTACCACTCACGAAGCTGCTGGGGCGTGAGAGACTCGCGTGAACGTCGCTGGAGCTGCATCTGGCCACCGCCAGTAGCAGCAGTAGCAGTAGTAGCAGCAGCAGCAGCAGCAGCTGCTGCAGCAGCAGCAGCAGCAGCAGCAGTAGTAGCAGCACGGGCAGGGCATGCGCGGTAGGCAGGAAGGCAGGCAGGCAGGTGCTTACCAGTGGCGGGAAGGGCAAGCCCACGACGGCGGCGACGGCGGGGCCGCGACAGCTGCGGCAGAGCAGGGTTGCGTCGGCGGTAGGGCAGGTCCGTGACAGTTGCTGCAGGGCGGGGCCGTGGCTGCTGCAGGGCAGGGCCGCGACGGCGGCAGAAGGCTCCGTGGCAGCTGCTGCAGGGCGTAACCGCGACTGCGGCAGGAGGCTCCGCGGCAGCTGCTGTAGGGGCGACGGCAACAGTCAGGCAGGGGCAGCCGCGGCGCGCAGGGACGGTAGCCGCGGCGCGCAGGTCTGCAGCGCGACGCGCGGGCAGCGGACGCGACGCGCGGGGCTGCAGCGCGACGCGCGGGCCGCGGATGCAACGCGCGGGGCTGCAGCGCGCTACGCGAGCTGCGGGCGCGGCGCGCGAAGCCGCAGCGGGCTGCGCGGGGACGGCAGCCGCGGCGCGCAGGGCTGATGCGCGGCGCGCGGGCAGCGGACGTGACACGCGGGGCTGCAGAGCGACGCGCGGGCAGCGGGCACGACGCGCGGGGCGGCTAGCGGGCCTGACGGGCCTGCAGGGGCGGCGCGCGGGCCTTACGAGGCTGCAGGGGCGGCGCGCAGGCCTTACGGACCTGCAGGGGCGGCGCGCTGGCCTAGGGCAGGAGGAGGCAGCGCTAGGGCTGCAGGACGGCGAGCGCAACGCAGCACGTCACAAGGCAAGGCAAGGCAGGCAACACGTTGGGTAGCGTGGTAACCGCAACGGTAGGTGGGCCCGAAAAAAACGGTCCTACGGACCTACTGCTCTGATACTATGCTAGAATCTAGCAGCACGAATGAATGAACTATGCAGCATGCAGGAGTACAAGTAGTAAACCCTAATTGGGTTGTACCCCATGTGGGCTACCCCACTACAGCCTACACAATATAGTTTGACACATGCCACCCACATTATAAGATGTGGCAATCCCTGGCTCCAGCATAGGGACTGTAACTCCCTGCCAATGCATACCCATCTGCTGCAGCCACACGCGCTGCTGAACCGCCTGCTGTTGGTCTGCCTGCTGCGCCATGCCCTGCTGCGCCATGCCCTGATGCGCCATGCCCTGCTGCGCCATGCCCTGCTGCGCCATGCCCTGCTGCGTCATGCCCTGATGCGCCATGCCCTGCTGCGCCATGCCCTGATGCGCCATGCCCTGCTGCGCCATGCCCTGCTGCGCCATGCCCTGCTGCGCCATGCCCTGCTGCGCCATGCCCTGCTGCGCCATGCCCTGCTGCACCATGCCCTGCTGCACCATGCCCTGCTGCACCATGCCCTGCTGCACCATGCCCTGCTGCACCATGCCCTGCTGCACCATGCCCTGCTGCGCCATGCCCTGGTGCCTCCCTGCCTGTAGCTGCCCTGCCTGCTGCCCTGCCTGCTGCCCTGTCTGCTGCCCTGCCTGCTGCCCTGCCTGCTGCCCTGCCTGCTGCTCTGCCTGCTGGCCTGCCTGCTGCCCTGCCGGCTGCCCTGTCTGCTGCCCTGTCCGCTGCCCTGCCCGCTGACCTGCCTGATGCCCTGTCTGCTGCTGCCCCGCCTGCTGCCCCTGCCGCTGCCCACCTATCTGTTGCTGCCGTCTCTGCTGTTGCCGTATTCACATTCCCCTGTTGAGTACCCTGTTGCTGTACGAGTACCCTGTTGCTGTACGCCCTGTTGGTGATCAGCTGATGTAGACGCTAGGCCCGCTGATGCAGCTGCCTCCTCCCTGTGCTGATGCTGATGCTGATGCTGCTGCTGCTGCTGCTGCTGCCCCGCCTGCTGCCCCTGCTGCTGCCCCTGCTGCTGCTGCTCCTGCTGCTGCTGCTGCTGCTGCTGCTGCTGCTGCTGCTGCTGCTGCTGCTGCTGCTGCTGCTGCTGCTGCTGCTGCTGCTGCTGCTGCTGCTGCTGCTGCTGCTGCTGCTGCTGCTGCTGCCGCCCCTGCCCATGCCCTTGCCCCTGCCCCTGCCCCTGTCCTGCTCGCTGCTGCCCCTGCCCCTGCCCATGCCCATGCCCCTGCCCCTGCCCCTGCCCCTGTCCTGCTTGCTGCTGCCCATGCCCCTGCCCATGCCCCTGCCCCTGCCCCTGCCCCTGTCCTGCCCCTGCCCCTGCCCCTGCCCCTGCCCCTGTCCTGCTCGCTGCTGCCCATGCCCCTGCCCCTGCCCCTGCCCCTGCCCCTGCCCCTGTCCTGCTTGCTGCTGCCCATGCCCCTGCCCATGCCCATGCCCCTGCCCCTGCCCCTGTCCTGCTTGCTGCTGCCCATGCCCCTGCCCATGCCCATGCCCCTGCCCCTGCCCCTGTCCTGCTTGCTGCTGCCCATGCCCCTGCCCATGCCCCTGTCCTGCTTGCTGTTGCCCATGCCCCTGCCCATGCCCCTGCCCATGCTGCTGTTGCTGCCCCTGCCCTAGCCCCTGCCCCTGCAGCTGCTGTTGTTCCTGCGGCTGCTGGGCATGCTGCTGCCTTCCCCTTCGCTGCTGCCTCTGCCCCCTTCGCTGCTGCTGCTGCTGCCCCCCTTGCTGTTGCCTTCCCCTTTGCTGCTGTGGCTGCCGCCTCTGTGCTCCCCCCTCCTCCTGCCAGTCGCTTCCTTCAGAATCTGATGTGAAGGAATACTCCGTATCATCATCGCTCGCAAATCCTTGTTCTACTCTCCCACTGTCACCCTCTTCCACATCTCCACTCCGTCATGCTCAAGCTTCCATCGTTCGTACAGCTGAACAATGAATCCCTTCACGATGCAGCTCCCCACATGCGCTGCACTTTGACACGTCTACCTCACCCATCGCAATTGTTCATGTTTGCATCTCAACATGAGCTTGTGGTGCTTGCCTCGCTTCCCATGCTGCTCGTTGTGCCGCGCGCAACTCACATGTGCGCACATTATGACCTTTCTCACCACACTTCCCACACTTTCGCATCTTATCACCATCCACCTCACCCGAACTTCTGAGACGTGTTGTACGTGGACGCCTTGGCCTCTTAGGGTACGAAGGTGGCTTGGTGATCTTATCTCGAAATACCTTGGTAGGGTCGAGCGACACAACAGGTGCACTGTATACATTTTTAAGAGCCTCCACTTTGTAGTAGCGGTCCACTACTTAATGAGCCTTCTCCGGTGTGGACCTGTAGACAGCATAAAGGTGTACACATGGGAGGTCGTACTCCCTACATAAAGGCGGGTTGTAAAAGAGGACACACAGTAGAAGAGCAGATCAATTAAGAACGTTTCCACGGGTTACTTTTACATAACATATGCTTCAACAAATGTCCAATCACTCACGCATGACTTACACTGGATACCCGTAGCTGCATGTGCTGGCCGTGTAGGGGTGACTGGTGTAGGGCGTGATGCGCCGTGTCTCCCGTCCAGTCGTGCGGGTCACCTTGAATGTCTGCTCCACCACCCGTTCTCCAAACTTCTCTACCACCGTCTCTCCCGTCTGCTCAGTCGTATACGACATTCCAAACTTGGCATTTTCACGAATAATATTCACAATTTTATGTGGCAGCTGATCGTTAGCCATGGTCTCAAATGCCTCATGCCGCTTGAATGTTGATACCCCCTTCCTCCCAACCACTGTTAACAGAACCTGAGCCAGACTCTTTCTCCTCAAGTCATTCAACATGACATGACTGGACTCTATAGGGTTCGAGCTGTAGCAACCATAACGAGCAGCCCCAAATCTGGTGGTGGCCCATTTTCTAGACGGGTCATCTTTTGTCAAGTAGGCAACCCCCCCGGGACATTCTTTCTCAATCTTCAATAGATATTGTGCAAACACCCCTACAGTCAAGGCACTAGCTGCATTCTCAATCTTGCCATCAAGCTCTGACCGGAACTTGGAATAAAAGTTTCGAACTATGTGAGTGACACAAAAGGATTCTCTTGCGTTTGGAAAAACCTCACGCATCGCAGCTGCCCATCCTCTTCCCCGATCATGCATGATAATAAAACCTTCAGTGTTAACTTCAGGCACGACCTCCAATAAGAGCTGGAAAATGAAACTGCATGCTTCCTTCGTCTCACCCTCAACCCATGCAATCCCAAGATGCACAAGCTTGTGCTTCGCAATCAAGAGCACACAGGTTAAGTGTTTGTCCACCCCACCTTGTCTTGTTATGACAGCCATCCGCAAACATTATTGGGAAACAGTTCAACAATGCAGTGCGAACTCTAGGGAACACTCACCCGTCACGGAAAAACTTGTCCCCATCCTTCACCATAGACACTCGCGACGTTGGGTTAAGCTCCATAAACATAGACAATAGCATCTCAAAATACTCAAATCCATCATCCCCCGACAAAAAATCTTCCTTTTCCAGCTGAAGAAGTGGACAACGCGTAATGTTGTATGAACATGAGACGCCATAAACCTCCTTCACCTTATCTCTCAAACCACTAGGACTCATCGTGCCATGCGCGACAAACTTACGAGCGATATCCTTGACCTCTTCCACATTTATCCGAGCAGGACATATAACACACATATCGACATGCTCTAAATGAAGCTCCCTGATCTCAATCTTCCCTTCTTTAGGCCCTCGCGCATAAATACGGAATGGACAAAACCCGTCCCGAGCAGGCACACCCTCAGCGGGCCACGCAACCCCCTCCACAGACCAGCAGTGCACATCGACACAATCAGCTGCGTTATAGTGAAAGTGAGGTTCGAACCTTTCCTGATGAGCATACTTGCGGATATGCCTACACGACTCAACGACGTTCACAAACATGTGCCCCATGGACAAGTTGATCACACTCTCGTTCTGCACCGACACACTGTAGAGAAAATACGGCATATTATTAATAGGCGTGGAACAATTACATAGTGTCTCCCTGATGCAACAAAGCGAGCAAAGATGCTGAGAGGGAAGGCGAGGTCCGGGCGAGTACAAGTCATCAGGTACATGAGGCAACCCACCAGCTCTGCGTAGGGACCACTAGGCTCAAACGGCTCATCAGGAAAGAGTCTAGTGAGTCTATGGTCAATAGCAAGTGGTGTGCGCTGTACTATGGAGTGTTGAAGCTCGAACCGATGAAAGACCTGCTGCACCATGTGTGACTGTGAGAGTGTAATGGTGCGAGCGGCTCTGTCCCTGGTGATCTGCAGGCCAAGGTAGTGGCGCAGCTCACCAAGGTCAGTGCACGTGTGTCTCTTCTACAGTTCGGACTTCACGTCTTCCAAGGCAACCCTGTCAGCAGTGGCAAAAACCAGGTCGTCGACGTAGACCAGAACAAAGAACGGTGTGGAGCCACGACGAACGAACAGCGACGGGTCGGCAGAAGACGGCTGGAAACCAAGGTCAGACAGGGTAGAACGAAGGGTGTCGTGCCACTCACGAGGAGCCTGACGGAGACCGTAGACCAGTCGCCTCAGCCTCCACTGGGTCCTAGGAGGGAAAGTGCCAGTGAAGGCAGAGGGACGACACAACTAGACCTCCTCGTGCAGGCTACCCTGAAAGAAAGCAGCGGAGAAGTCGAGAGAGTGTAACTCGTAGTCTCTCTGTGCTGCTACGTGCAGTAACACCCGAAGAGTGGTCATCTTTGGGGTAGGCGCGAAGGTCTGAAAGAAGTCAACTCCCTCGCGCTGACTGAAACCTCTAGCCACGTAACGCGCCTTGAAGACCGGACATCCCGGTGGCTGCTTCACCCTGCAGATCCACATGCCATCGACTACGTTCGCCCAAGGGGGGGAGAACCTCATCGATGTAGGTGCCTGTGGATCTGTAGGAGGCCATCTCTGCATCCATGGCAGCTCTCCACTAAGAGGCCCAAGGCCCTGACACTGCCTCAGCGTAAGTGCGAGGAGTCGGTATGTCAAGGGCGTCGGGGTCTCCCTTAGGGGCGAGCAGCATGGCACAGAGATGAGGGGAAGCGGCGGCCAGGAACTCTAGCTCAAACTGCATGTCCTCTAGGGCGTCACAGCCAAGGGCTGACCCACCCCTGACGGCCAGAGGACTGGTAGGAGGAGCAGCCACAAGACTGGTGGCGTAGTCAAGGCGGCGAGTAGAGGCAAACTCAGTGACTGCGGCAGTAAGAGCGGAGACAGAGGACAAAGAGGCACGAGGGTGGGTAACAAGAGAGGCAAGAACACGAGAGAGAACAGGACGGTACGTGCAGTAGTAGTCAGTAACAGGAGTAGAGAGGGAAGCAGTGAGGGCCGACTCAGGGGGAGAAGGAAGCACAGACGGAGACGAACGAGGCGGACTAGGAAACCGCAGGACTGAACGAAGGTCAGTGAGAGGGACAGGGGACGAGGGACGAGCACGAGGAGAGCGACGAGAGGGCCAAGCGTGCGAAGGAGGAGACAACGGAGGCGGAGAATAGGTGAGAACGGCTGGGGAGTGGTCAGGAAGAGGAAGCATGGGACCGTAGGCACGAGGAGAGGGGGAGGAGGAAGGAGAGGGAGAGGGGAGACCGAGGGCCCAAAGACCAGAGACAGGAAGAGGAGGTGGCGGCTGCTGCTGCTCCTGCTGCGAGTGCGACCCCTGCTCCTCCAGCTTCTACCCTGCCTGACCTTGGTTTCCAGCCGTCTTCTGCCGACCCGTCGCTGTTCGTTCGTCGTGGCTCCACACCGTTCTTTGTTCTGGTCTACGTCGACGACCTGGTTTTCGCCACTGCTGACAGGGTTGCCTTGGCAGACGTGAAGTCCGAACTGCAGAAGAGACACACGTGCACTGACCTTGGTGAGCTGCGCCGCTACCTTGGCCTGCGGATCACTAGGGACAAAGGCGCTCGCACCATTACACTCTCACAGTCACACATGGTGCAGCAGGTCTTTCAGCGGTTCGAGCTTCAACACTCCACAGTACAGCGCACACCTCTTGCTATTGACCACAGACTCACTGGACCCTTTCCTGACGAGCCGTTTGAGCCTAGTGGTCCCTACGCAGAGCTTGTGGGTTGCCTCATGTACCTGATGACTTGTACTCGCCCGGACCTCGCCTTCCCTCTTAGCATCCTTGCTCGCTTTGTTGCACCAGGGAGACACCGTCCTGTTCACTGGACAGCAGCTGTGAGGGTGGCGAAGTACCTAGCGACGACATCAGGCGTGGGGCTGGTTCTTGGAGGGCAGCAGTCTGTCGTACTTACTGGTCACTGTGACTCTTCTTACGCTGACGACGCTGAGACTCACAGGTCATCTTACGCTGGGTTTTGGAGCTATTTCGTGGAGGTCCACGCGTTCCTCCTCGGTCTCGACCTCTACCGCTGAGGCTAAGATTTGCGCTGGTGCCATGGCGGCACAGGAGTTGCGTTGGTTGACCTTCTTGCTCGCCGACCTTGGTGAGCGGCCGAGCTCTGCACCGACCTTGTTCACTGACAACAAGGCGTCGATTCTCCTCTGTCGAGAGCCGCGACTGGAGAGCAGAGTGAAGCACATCAACGTTAGATACTTTCTTATGCGAGAGTTGCAGAAACGTGGACAAGGTCGCTTCGAGTTTGTGGAGTCCAAGGCCAACACTGCAGACATCTTCACCAAGGCGCTTCAGCCTTGTGACCACCAGAGGTGTTGTGTGCAGTTAGGCCTTGTTGACACTGGTTTTCGTCGTGTGTAGACTTGAGTTCTCTGCTTGCTTTGCTTGTACACTTTAACTTTTATCTTTGTGAACTCTTGGACTGGCCTTGTGGCCTCTTTTGATTGTGCTCAGAGTGTGTGGTGACGTTGTGATCCACCCTGAGCTTTGTTTCTTTGTGACTGGTCTTGTGACCGTACGCTTTTGGTTTTGCTTGACACCCTTCACTTAGACAATGGGGGTGTGTCAAATGTTGTAGTCTTAGTGATGTGTGTCATAAGAGGTACAACTCTTAGGGTTAGGTTTATGTACCCCAACCAACATTGTCAATGCAACACTTTCATTACTGACATGTAGTGTCAAGTTTAACCTGCTTTTTATTATGGAATCTGTTACCGTATGGCCCCGGATATAAGCGCCGTCCGATTAAAGGCGCCGGCGCTTCTATCTGGAGCATGGCGCTTATAGAGGATCCTCGATTAGAAGCGCACCCCTTTTCAGGTCTGAACTTATTATAAGCGCATGTGCAAAGTCTGTTATCTACTTATCATTCTAATTTCACAGAACATTACATTTTTTAAACAATTCTTAACAAGAGTTGTTTCACCCTATCAATTTCAAGGTTCATACACAACAGCCTACTCAGGTTGAACCAGCTACTCAAGTCCGACTACAGCCTAGCTACCTACTCCTCCTCGTCAGACTCGGGCTCCTGGCAGTTGTTGCCAAAGAAGCCGTCAGCGATGATGTCGTCATCGACATCGACTTCACGAGTCAGCTGGCTTCGCCTGTGCGCCATGGCAAGCGAGTCCTCGCTGCCGTCAAGAGCGTTGCTGATGCCACAGGTGAGGAAGGCGCGCTTGATGAGGTCCGCGGGCACTGCCTTCCATGCCCGCGAGATCCACTTCACTACCACCGCAGGAGGCGGCTTCTTGAGGTTCCCTGCACCAACAGGCAGAGACACATCACTCTCGTCAGTTTTAATAAACGGTTCACGAGAGCATGTCAAGGAACGACTGTAGTTCTTCTATGTAAGCTTACCTGCTGCTGTCAGTCGCTCTTGGCCTTCGTCTTCAAACCACTTCTGGTACTGCTGGCGGACGGAGGCCTTGAACGACTTGTTGATAGAGACGTCCAGCGGCTGAATCTCCGCCGTACAGCCTGCCGGGATCACCGCCGGCACGATGTTGAGCTCGGCGAACTTGTCCTTGACCCCTTGGGTGAGGTGACCGCGGTAGGAGTCGAGGACCACCATCGCGCTCCTCGCCTGCCTGCCGAATCGAGGCCTAAGAAACGGTTGGACGCACTCCTCCAGCCATCGGATGACGCCTTCGGCGTCCATCCACCCGTTCTCGTGGCAGGCGACGACGACATCTGCACAATGATACACGGGCAGGGTGGTTAGCGACGATTTAGTAAAGCAACGAATCAACCCATTTAAAGTGCAATTTCTTACCGGGCGGGAAATCTCCCTTCGGCACTGTCTTGCGCTTGAAAAAAACCCACGGTTTGAGTTTCTCCCCATCCGCAGTGCACGCCAGCATCACGGTGACGCGCTCCTTCTGGTATCCCGCACTCCGGATGGGCACCGACCGCACGCCTGTCTGTTCCACGGTGGTGGTGGCGGGCATCTCCAGCCACAGCGGCGTCTGGTCGGCGTTGATGATCCACGTAGTCTCGATGCCGCGCTCACGCCGCCTATCACGCACGTACTGCCAAAACTTGCGGCACATCTCCGCGACATCTGTAAAAAAACGAGGCAAATAAAGAAGATGCGTCAGTATACATGAACTGGAACGACCCACAGGCTTGATACACGGTTAAGACTTACGGGCTGCAGTTTTCTGGGCGACGCGCGTCTTCATGCGGACGCTCAGATTCCACCGCTTCCGAAACCGTTCCGACCACCGCTGGCTGCCCTTCCACTTCACAAGCGGGTAGAGCAGCTTCATGAACTCGTGCGACCACTCCTGCAGACGGCCGACGGAGACTGCTGTTCCCTTGCGGCGCCACTCCAGTAGCTTTTCGTACACCTTCAGCTCCATCGGGCGGTACCATGAAGACCTCCCGCGGCCGTGCATGCGCTTCCGTGCGGCGTGCACCTCCTTGAGGAAATCGGCGGCGCGCTTCCACTCCGTGAGACACTTCCGGTGGATGCCGCTTTCTCGAGACAAGGAGCGCACCGACACCCCCACATCCAGCCGCGCGACCCACTGCAGTTTTTCTTGCGCAGTATAAGCTTGACGCTTATGCTGGTTGACTTTGTTCCTGGGAGAGGGGGGGCGGGCATCACGATTCTCAGCAGAAGGGTGAGGTCGCTTGCGGTTAACAGGAGGGAAAGTCGGAATCGGGAGTTTCTCAGGGAGCCCATCGCGAGACCAGTATTCGACGCCGTCGTCGTCGGCGGCGCCTGGTTCACCCTCGGGAAACACATCGGCCGCGGTGCCAGCCTCGGTTTCGGCCTCCGTGCCATCCTCGGCACCGTTGTCGCCCTCGGCACGACCTTCTTCCGCGGCGTCAGCCACATCGTCGTCGGCGCCGACGGCAGATTCGTCCCACGTGCATTCTTCGGGCGCGCCCCATCTTGGTGCAGGTGCCGGAGCCCGTACATACACGTCTGGACCCTTGTTATTGTCCGGTTCAGACAGGTACTCGTCGAAGGCGGACGGGAGCAAGAGCGTAAGCACGGGATGATTCCCAGGCGGTTGTGGGAACGCCTGATACGGAGGAGCAGGAGGAGCGGGAGGAGCGGGAGGAGCAGGTGGCGCAGGAGGAGCAGGAGGCTGTGGTGGCGATGGTGGTTCTGGTGGGATACGTGTGTACCATCCGTCAGCGTCAACTGTGTAAGCGGGCCTAGGTTTTTTCTTGAAAAGGAAATGAGTGCCTGTGAATTCCGCCATGGCTTCCGCAGCCAGGCGGGCGTGAACAAGAAAGTGAATGGGAAACGCAAAGCATGAATGAAGAAATGAACGATTGAAGAGGACCCCTTCAGGAAAGCGCCTCGTTTTCCTCATCAATGAAAGACGAAAATCACCCTGCCTGAACCCGCAGAGGAGGGTTAATGGTACCAGACGTGTTGTGCTGGCAGGGCATATTCCACACCCTTCGAGAGGGTTCGGATGAGTTGTCCTGCCTGGCCGCGCATGACAACCCGATTGGGCCGCACGACAGCTTTTGTGTCAGCGCTGGCAGGTGCGCTGCACTGGGACGTGAAGTGTGCGGTGGGGAATCGAATCGCGGCGAATAGCGCGAGGATTCCATGCATGACCCCACGTGAACGGCACATCGTTGTGTTCGCCTTATTGCAAGCTTCATTTTGGTACCCTTACAAACAAATTTCATTTTTGCCATTATAAAGGCGCCGGCGCTTATGGCCGTTACTCGATTATAAGCGCACCCAAATAAAATCAAGATTTTATTATAAGCGCATCTGCGCTACTATCCGGGGTATGACGGTAGTAAAGTTGCAGTTGAGGTGGGGAGCTGGCTGGTTGTTGTTAGTGCTTACCAGGATAGGGTGGTTTGTGTAGGTTGCTGCACCTGTACCGTATGTCAGGACTTCCAAGGGTAGATAGGAGGGCTTTGTAAATGCCCATCAGGAGTCCACTAGGGTTCCTCTGCACTATGTATGCCCTGGTTTGCTATGGTTTCGACAAAGTATTCTCAGTGCAATAGCTATAACAAGCTGCCATGTGAGGCACAACAAACTTGGGAGGTGGAAGCCTTGGTTGTTAGCGATTCTGAAACTACACTACTGTGACAATCTGGAATTGGCGCAGCAAGACACTGCCTCTCTACTGTAAATAATCCGTTGTTTCCTAGACCTACTGTTGCTCAACTTCTACACGCTGAGTCTAGTGCCCCTCAGCCGTTCCCCTTGGTCACACCTGTGCTCTCAGCAAAAGACCCCTTGCCTTTCTCCACCTTCCCTTTTGCTGTTGCTTCGCTCGTGCCCTTTTTGCCACTACCGATACTCGCCTTGCCATCCTTACCTCCCCCCTTCGGCTTGCTCCTGTCCGTCTTTGCCCCCTCCTCCTGCTCTCCTTTGCTTGACTTTCCCTTTTTGTTTTCGCCACTGCTGCTCTTGCTGCTATCGCCATTGCTCTTAATGCCTTTGCTGCTGCTCTTGCTACTGCTCGTGGCGCTGTTGCTCGTTTTGCCTCCCACACCCTTACCTCCCACACCCTTACCTCCCTTCCCTCCCTTCACGTCATTGCTCTCTACTGCCCCCTTGCCCGTCTTGGTGCCATTCCCCTTGCTCCCCCCTGAAGCCCCTGTTGTCGGACCCGCGCCCTTGCCAGGCTTCTTTGGGCTGCTGCTCCCACCACTCGCTTTTCCTGACTTGCCACTGCTGCTGCTCCCGCCTGTGCCTTTTCCTGTCACCTCCTCCTTACCATTCACACCTTTCTTGCCACTGCCGGCCTTCACTTCCTCACTGCCGCTGCCAGCCCCGGCACTGGATTGCGTCTTATTGTGCTGCCCTTGGCTCTTATGGTGCCCCACTCCAGGCGGATGGTGCCCCGGCCTTCTCCCACCCTCAACCCCCTTGGCACCGTCAGTAGCAGCAGCAGCACCATCAGCGGCGCTCTTCCCCGTCCCCGTCTTCACCTTCGCGTACTTCTTCGGCTTGCTTCCACCCGCCTCTCCCTCACTACCCCCTGCTCTGTCCCCCCCATCAGCCTCACCATCCGCCCCATCGCTGTCTGGCTCCACCTGCACGGCGCCGTCCTGCTGGGGCAGCGGCAGGGGGCGGGGCAGGGGGGCGTCCTTGTAGTAGCGCACAGGGCACTGCTGCTTCAGATGGCACGCCGACTCCTCCTGGTCCGACGCATCAGGGCAGAGCGGCTGGCGCTCATCATTGCACACGTCACAGTAGTTCCACAGGCAGTACTTGCCGCCTGGACACGGCACGCGTCCTGTGGCGGCACAGTCGTACCCCGTGCACGTCGCCTCGTCCTCGTCGCTGCCGTCGTGGCACTCCTTCACGCCACTGCACCACGCGTCCTCTGACACGCACTGCAGCCCGTCCGCACACTTCCTCCACCCCTCGGGGCACTTGTACGCTGCACACATGGCTGGATCCTCATCAGCGCTGACTCCTTCCTCGTCAGCAGCCACGCCCTCCAGCATCATGACAGCAGCTCCGCCTTGCATCACCCCTCCCACACCAGCCGTGGTGTCATCAGTACCAGCAGCAGCTGTGGGAGTGGTGGTGCGAGGCATGACAGCAGGCTTCAGTGCAGGGACGGCATCAGAGGCAGCGACAGGGTCAGAGTCAGGAGCGGTGTCGAGGGCGGTGGGCATGCGGCAGTCGGGGAAGCCGTTGCAGAGCGTGCCGGGCACGCAGAGCAGCGAGCCGGGGCACTTGATGAGGCCGGGCGCGCACTCGTGGTCCGCACAGAAGCCACGGTCCTCGTCGCTGCCGCCCGGGCAGTGCGGCGTGCCGTCACACAGTAGCGAGGCCGGAACACACGCGGGCGCTGAGCCGTCCACTGTTGGACACACCACCTGGTCGCGTTGAGGGGACGGGGGAAATGGGTGATGTATGGGGAACGAAACGTGTGAATGGACAGCAGATGCTACTGGCATGTTTCAGTTGCTTGATCACATGGTACCCCACATGTCACCATCCTTCGTCCGAAACCAAGGATCTCACCCTGTCAGTATCGGAGCAGTTGTAGCTGCTACAGAAGAGCGCGCCCTCGTCGCTGCCATCACTGCAGTCCTTCCTGCCATCGCACAGCAGCCCCTCGTACGTGCACTGCTGCCCACCAGGGCACTGCGTCTGAATTCGGAGAGAGCAAGGGGGGTAGGGAGTGAGTCTGAAGTCAAAGTGCTGCAACATTTAACCCTCACAGAGTGCTGGCACCAGGGATTAAAACACGAGCAGAGTAGCGAGGGGAACAGCGGGCAGATCAGCGGGCGGGGCAGCAGCGAGAGCAGGTTACCCGGTAGGAGTTGGAGCAGTTGAACTTGGAGCAGAACTGCGGGAGCTCGTCGCTGCCATCACGGCAGTCGGGCATGCCGTCGCACAGCTGGTACTCCCACACGCACCCGCCCTTCAGCGGACACGCCACCTGAGCGGGTCACACGGGGAGGGGGCAGGTGAAGTACGCGGGGTTAGCGGGCTGCAGACCGGTGAGTTGTGTGGTGCACGCACGCTGACTTGCAAGTGTGGCGTGGACAGGTGCATGAGCAGGAGAAGCAGGACCAGGGCAGCGCGTGTGAGGCGTGGTGCGGCGCACAGCGTGCGGCTTACCCGGCCAGTGGCGGAGCAGTCGAAGGAATCGTTGCAGGTGGCGGCGGCCTCGTCGCTGCCGTCAGTGCAGTCGGCGCGGCCGTTGCACATGGCGTCGGGGAAGATACACCCCACGCCGGACGGACACGTGCTCTGGTGGGCGAGAGGGCGAGGTGAGAGGGCGAGGTGAGAGGGCGAGGTGAGAGGGCGACGTGAGAGGGCGACGTGAGAGGGCGACGTGAGAGGGCGACGTGAGAGGGCGACGTGAGAGGGCGACGTGAGAGGGCGACGTGAGAGGGCGACGTGAGAGGGCGACGTGAGAGGGCTGCGAAAGTTGACTTGGCTTGAATCGCACAGACTTAATTATCCGGCATGAATGCAGTTGACTCGCGTTGAAACACTTTGCCAGCATGAATGCACTTGATTCGCGTTGACCCACCTTGCCAGCGTCGCTGCAGTTGAAGGTTTTGCAGAAAGCCTCGTCCTCGTCGCTGCCGTCGCTGCAGTCGCTCACTCCGTCGCACGCCTGTCCGAGGAACATGCACCCCGTGCCGGACGGGCACTGTTGCTGTTGGGGGCAGACGGGGAGCAGGGGAGACAGTGTTTGGTTGGCAGACCCAGGAACGCGCAGAGAGGGGTGCGGTCGGAGGCAAGGGGTGGCAATGCTTGATGAGGGCATGGAAAGGAAGGATGACGGGGAAGAATGGGGAGGGTGGGGGGCGAGAGAGGGGAGGGCGAAGTAGCACGGCAGCGTGAGGTGGAAGGAGGCGAGGAGGTACGCGGAATCGATACCAATCCGTTCACGCCCCCCTTGGCGCAACTCTCCGCCACACCAGCAGCACTCACCCGGCCGTCAGAGCTGCACTGGTACTGCGAGCAGAAGGCGGGGTGCTCGTCCGTGGCGTTGGGGCACGACGGCTTGCCGTCGCACAGCAGGTACCCCCGCCACGCACTGCGCCGCCCCCAATGGGCACCGCTCCTGCCGCGCGGGAGACGGGGGGAGAGGGCGCAGGGAGGCCGCGGTGAGGGAAGTCGGCAGTGTAACCGTGGGAATGGCAGGGAACGAGCGGGTGAAGAGGGGTAGGGTGTGAATGGAGGGCGAGTGACAGTGATGATGACACGGAATGAACTTTGAATCGACAAGCTGCACTCGCCTACCATGGCCATACTAGCGAATCGTTGCCTACCATGCCAATAGAGGAGCAGTCGAAGGCAGCGCACGCCTTGGGGTCCTCGTCCGAGCCGTCGCGGCAATCCTTGTTGCCGTCGCAGCGCGCCGAGTCCAGCACGCACTGCTGCTCGTCCGCGCATTTGGACGACCCCGCGGGGCACTGCGGGCACGCGCGCAGGGCAGTGGGGTGAGGGAAAGGGGGAGCAGGCGGGGCTTAATGACGTGTGTTCGGAGAGGCGACCGGGACCGTGCTCCCGTTGGCTGACTCGCACCTCATGTGTCGGATGTAGCTCGTCCGGGAGGCGAAGCGCGGCGTGTGGGACGTGATTGGAAAATAGTGTAACTCGCCGCAGTGGGAAACTGACATGTGCGGAACGCGTGGCAAGTGTGCGTGATAGCTCTAGCGCGGGCTCGTGAGGAAAAGAGTTGAGACGCACGCTGTGTCGTCGCGGGAGGGTTGTGGCAGGGGCGAGTGGGAGAGTGGGATACGTAGTAGCTGGGCGCAGGTGGTACCTGGTAGTCCGCGCACGGCGCGCCGAAGTCGGAGCCGTCTTTGCAAGAGGGGCCGGCGGAGGAGAAGCAGAAGGAGAAGAGCGGCACGCAGAGAGTGCCGTTGTCGCACGCCGCGCACGCCGGCGCATCCTGGCGACGACGAGGAGGGGGGCGATGGAAGGGGGAAAAACAGCGGCATCGGGAACGGTGGGGTTTGTACTGAGGGGACTGCGACGTATACGCACACGGAGAGTGCACGCAAGCCCGGCTTGACATGAAGCGAAAGGGAGGGGGTTAACGAGAACCTGCCAGAGGTGAATCGTCAGGCGGGAGTGATGGCGAATGTCTATGCGGCATGCAGCGTTGCAGCTCGTGCAGTAGAGGGCTAACCTTAGTCGGGCGACGAGCAACGGGGCTGCTGCCGGACACCGTTGCAACACACGCAACGGCCAGCAAGACGCAGAGAACGCGTATCATCGCGGGACCCCTCATATTTCGAATTAGAACGTCAGTGGAAGGATCTGTGACGGCCTCAGTCCCTGCTGTATACGAACAAATGGAAATGCAACAGGTTGAACGGGGAAAAGGCGGGTCTGGAAGAAAACTGCCACAAGAGGACCTCGTACGGTAGAGCTTTGTGTAGTCTGGTCCGACCAGCAGCTGCTTTATCTTTCTTCAATCCTAACTCAATGTAGCCTGTTGCCTCGATTGCCGCGTGAGCTATGACGCCAGCAAGCATTTCTGTGTGTCAGATTTGCAGTGGAGGCGATACTTTTAGCAGTCACTTCCCTCGGTGATCGCTGCTCCCCCCAATGACCCATTTGGTTGGAGGGCCCATCCCTCCACCTGCCTGCGATCAATTCGTGGAGATATTGAGCAAAATCATTATATTCCAAAAATGTTCTTTATGATATTGACGAGTCGTTCTCGGTCAAATTCGACTGCACCTGCTCGAAAATAATGCGCCCTCCGCTCGAAATTGTTGAATGTTTTGTTCAGAATAGAGGCATTCAACCAGCAATTGCATATCACTAGCAAGGCTAGAGATTAAAAGGGGAGGCTATTTACATATATTTGAAATAGACACATTAGAATATGGTTTCATCAATAGGTTTAACAATGAGAAAAACTATAAAAATCCGTAACTAATGTAAAATACTTATTAAAAATATATCATGTATTATCCTTATCTGAGACTGTATCTATATGAGTATATATTTAAAACCCAACCCCTGAATTACAGAAAGCCCTTTACAAACTAGGCCCAGTTTGTGTCTCGCCCCTACAAGGTTCACGCAGAAAGGGTTTCGGAAGTTTTCCGAACCTCCAACTGCCTGCCTTTCCGAGCCAGTTTTTCCCGCGTTGACTCTGTTGAGCAATTCGGGTGTTGCCTTTTAATCTATACAATTGCTGATCATCTATACAACTAACAATATTATTAGCTGTTTCAAAGTTAAAAGGGGTAATAGTAAAAACTTAACCCTTGTTAATAGAATAATACTTACAAAACATATATCATGGAACCGTATTTAATATGGAATTGATAAAATAGCTCTAAATATACTATTGTATTTTATGAAAATTGCTTGTTTACAAAATAATTGATGAACGAATGTCCCATGTTAGTTATTGCAGTATGATTATAAAATAAGATCATAATAAAAGAATCGAATATAATTATATTTAAACAAATACTAAATATATCAAAATTTGCTAAATTGTAGATAACTTTTTTGTCATATAAGAAATATATCTATCTGATTATATCATGGCTTTAACAGTTGGAAGGGTCTAAATCGATTTTGGCATCATTTTTTTCCCGTAATTTGTTTATGTTAAATTCGACTTTAATGTTTCATATCTGCTAAAACACCAAGGTTCATGCCAGCATTGTTCTCTTTATGTAGGTGTTAACCCGCAATATCTGTATGCAAAGTAGTATACCGTACCCTTACTTACCGTACCCTTATCTGGTGAACAAAACAGGTAGGAACTGTAGATTAGATGCAAGACTTTCAGCAATCGAGAGATCCACCGATTTGAGCCGAAGCAGTACGATGTTTTATATATGGGAAACTAATCTGTTCTTTTATGTATTTTTCGTTTTTCTCGTCTCAAATTCAAATGCCGTCAGGCGCTCAGAGATCCGATCATCCGACGGCCATGAAGCACACCGCCATTTCTCTTAGCATAGCTGGGCAGCGTAAGGCCCTGCCGACAGGGCGAGTGGTCACTTCGCGGCTCGCTAAATGTTCGCGTCGCACGCAACTGCGGTTGGGTAGCGTGTTCGCAAAAAGCTTGCCAGGTCTACTCACTGCACCAACGGCTCCTATTCGATATGGAGCTGGTGTTTGTTGAAAGTTGTAGAAATGTGTAGAACTGTCAATATATAAGAAGTGATTACGGATGCAAATTAAACACTAAAAATCAGGCCTATTTATCTGAGTGTTTATTACCCTGTTACGCAAAACATCATGGTATTTTTTTAGGGATAGCACTGATGTCTCTGGGTTTTCTAGTTAGGTATATCTTGGCCTATCAAGGTTTTTGTTTTAGCAACACTTATGAGCCATGCTTGTTTGTGTCAGGAAAAACCCCATTTCCTTGGGGTTAACTGTTTCGCGTGCAGCCCTTACTTTCGGAGGTGCACGTTCGGCTGCTTTGCTCGACTCCTGTCAAATTATAAATACGTTTGTTAGACTTTAGTGGGATACACTATATCCAGTACCGGTACATATGTTAGGGTTTGTACTTGTACCCCAACATTTCTAGTGCACTTCATTCCCATTTCGTACGTTTTTAACATGGCATCCGAAACTAGGTTAGGTCCAATCGCCGTACCTACTGCCATACCTATGTCAAATGTTATATCTGCTACAGTTTGTTTAGGCTGTAGTGGGGTAGTTACTATGGGGTACAGTAAGTTTAGGGTTTTGTACTTGTACCCAACCCTTTCCTAGTCCAATCACCCTTGTTGATTCTGACATGGTATTATGAGCCTAGGTTAGGAACCTAGGACCGATTAGTCCTTTGGGCCCACCTCTCCGCTAGAAGCGCCCTCGAGCGCCCTATCGCCTTAGCGCCCTCGTGCGCCTCTCTGCTAGTGCGCCCTCGCGCGCCTCGCTCTCTCACGCTGCCCGTGCGCAGCCCGCTAGCCCCGCGTGCGGCCCGTTTTTTCTAGCGCACGTAGCCCGCTAGCCGCCCGCGCGCGGCCCGAATCGCGCGCGCGTCGAACGTTAGCCGCCTGCACGGCCAGCGCCGCCCACGAGCAGCCCGCTAGCCGCCCGTCGACCGGCCCTACTGGCCGTCCAGCGCGCCGCAGCCCTGCCCGTAGGCCGCCGCGTCGCTTTTGTAGGCCGCCACCCGCGCGCGACTGCAGCCCACGCACAACCGCGGCCCGTACGCAATAGCCGCCTACGCGCAGGCCCACCGTCACGCCGCCCTGACTGAGCCGCGCCGCCCTACTGTGCCCCACCTGCAGCACCTGTTGTTCCTGTTACTGCTACTGCTACTACTGCTACTGCTGCTACTGTTCCTGCTACTGCTACTGCCACTATGGCCAGTCCTATAGTTCTCACTTTTGACGCTGAGGGCCGTCCGATTAAGTTTGACGTTTGGCTCGATGACCTGCACCTGTTCCTCCAGATCACTGCCAAGGACGATGTTTCCCTTTTTGACCACACGTCCGGCGTCGCTCCCGCACCTGCTGCTACTGCTGACAGCACTGCCCGCTCACAGTGGCAGACCCGTGACGCTCATGCTCGCCTAGCCGTTCGCAGCCACCTGCCGTTAGATGAGCGCGAGCACTTTGGCCAGCATAAGACCGCTAAGGACCTGTACGATGCTGTAGTTGCACGCTACTCCTCCCCTGCTACTGCTGCGATAGGCCGTCTCTCACTGCCCTATCTCTTCCCCGATCTGTCTGTCTTTGCCACTGTAGCTGACCTCATCACCCACCTCCGTACTAGTGATCTTCGCTACCGTGCCGCGCTTCCCCCCGATTTCCTAGCCAAGAACCCTCCCCCGATGTACCTCACACTCTACCACCTAGTCACTCGCCTTCCTGATTCTCTTCGCACTGTCAGGGACCACTTTCTCGCCCTCTCCCCCACCGACCTCACTGTCGACCTGCTTGAGAAGGAACTCCTAGTAGGTTAGAAGAGCATTGTAGTTGTAGGTGCCTCTCGTGGCGACCCTCGCACTCCCTTCTTTGAGGGGTGTTCCCTCCCATGTCCCTCTCCTCCCCTCCATTGCATCTGCTGCTGCTGTCGACTACCTCGGTGCTGAGGGGGTCGGGGCTGCGTCTGCTCCTAGTGGGAGGCGCAAGGGCGGTAGGGGCAAGGGGGGCAGGGGTGGCGGAGGTGGTGGCGGGGGCGGCGGTGGTGGAGGGGGTGGAGGGGGCGGGGGTGGCGGCAGTGGTGGGAGTGGTGCTGGCGGTGGAGGGGTCAGTGGCGGAGCCGGGGGTGGTGGCGGCGGCGGTGGTGGGGGTGGCGAGGGTGGTGGTGGCAGTGGTGGCGGCGGTGGAGCTGGTGGCGGGCGCGGTGAAGCGGTGCAGCGTGGGGGGTACGGCGGTGGCCAGAGGCAGCAGCAGCAGCGTCCCGGCGAGACCCCGTCGCCCCAGCAGCTCTGTGAGTGGTACTCTCAGCGTGGGGGGTCTGGGGGTGGAGGTACCTGCCCGTACGTCATCCGCACAGGTGACCGCGCTGGCCAGACCTGTCGGAGGTTCCATATGGCACAGCGCTGCTTCTTTCGTCTCGACGACGCCTAGCGCGAGCAGTTCCCTGACGCCTCTGAGCTGCCCCACTGGGCTGATCTGCTTAAAAAGAACATTGATATCTTTTCTCTTGATTTTGATGCTATCCTTGTTGCTATGTATGCATTGACTATTAGTGTTGAGGGTGACTGTTACCTGAGTGTACCACCCGACCCGGGTATTGGGACCAGTGAGGCTGCCGCTCTAGGTGCTAGTGCGTCTGCTGCCGTATGTCCTGGTGAGGCTGCTGCTCTAGGTGCTAGTGAGTCTGCTGCTCCAGGTGCTCGTGCGTCTGCGCCTGCTGGTACTGCGTCTACTGAGGCACTGGACACCTTCACACTGGACTCGGGTGCTTCCCGCTGTTTCTTTCGTGACCGCACTGTCCTTGAGCCGCTAGCTCGGCCTGTTGCTGTCTCCCTCGCTGACCCCTCTGGGGGCCCGGTCCTTGCGACCTCCTCCACTGTCCTCCCTTGTCCTGCGGCCCCGTCTGGCACTCTGTCGGGTCTTTACCTCCCCTCGTTCTCTACGAACTTGGTGGCGGGCTCTGCTTTCCAAGACGGGGGTGTTCACCAGTACACCCCTGCCTATGAGCGTGTGACCCACTGTACGTGTGCTCGGACGGGTCGCCACCTGGCTACCTTCACTCGGCAGCCGGGGTCGGACCTGTACACACTGACCACTGAGTCCCCTCAGGTAGCTGCGTCTGCGTCTGCGTCAGGTCAGCTGTCGGCCCCCTGCGAGTGTCGCACCCTGTCGCACCAAACCGTCCTCTGGCACCACCGCCTTGGTCACCCCTCAGTGCAGCGCCTTCGTGGCATGCACTCCCGGTACCTTGTCTCTGGTCTTCCCAGGGTTCTCCCTCCCCTCCCACCCTCGCCTGCTCCTCCCTGTCTTCCCTGTGTCGAGGGGCGGCAGCGCGCCACTCCTCACTCCTCCTCGTTCCCTCCCACAGAGGCTCCACTGCAGACTCTCCACCTGGACGTGTGGGGCCCGGCCCGCGTCCGTGGACAGGGCCACGAGCGGTACTTCCTGCTGGTCGTCGACGACTACACGCGCTACACCACGGTCTTCCCCTTGCGCACCAAGGGTGAGGTCCCTGATGTTTTGATCCCTTGGATCCGCGCTGCTCCGCAAGCGGTTCCAGTCGGACTTTCCCGTCCTGCGTCTGCACTCTGACAGGGGTGGTGAGCACGGCATCCGCCAGATGTTCACGCTTCCGGCCTCTCCACAGCAGAATGGGGTTGCTGAGCGCCGCATTGGCTTAGTCATGGAGGTCGCTCGTACCTCCATGATCCATGCGGCTACCCCCCATTTTCTGTGGCCGTTTGCAGTTCAGTACGCTGCGCATCAGCTCAACCTCTGGCCTCGTGTCTCTGCTCCGGACACCTCGCCCACACTGCGTTGGACGGGGGAGGTTGGCGATGTGTCGGTGTTCCGGGTCTGGGGATGTCGAGCCTTTGTCCGCGATACGTCCGCGGACAAGCTCTCCTCCCGTGCCGTTCCCTGTGTCTTCCTTGGCTTTGTCCCTGACGCGCCTGGCTGGCAGTTTTACCACCCCACCTCGCGCTGTGTCTTCCCCTCTCAGGACGTCACTTTTGACGAGTCGGTACCCTTTTACCGTCTCTTCCCCTACCGCACTACCCCGCTCCCCCCCCCGCCGCTCTTCCTCACCCCAGGTGTCCCTTCAGCAGACCCCCTCCCTCCCCAGGGTCCTGCTCCCTTAGGTGTTTCCCAGGTAGACCCGGTCGAGCCTGTCGAGGTAGCTGTCGACTCTGGTCCTGCAAGGGGTACTGAGACTGGGGGTGCTGAGCCTGGGGGTGCTGAGACTGGGGGTGCTGAGCCTGGGGGTGCTGAGACTGGGGGTGTCGAGACTGGGGGTGCTGAGTCTGGAGGTTCTGGAGCTGCTGAGGGTGCTGGCGCTGGAGGTTCTGGAGCCGCTGAGGGTGTTGGCGCTGGAGGTTCTGGAGCTGCTACAGGAGCTGGCGCTGGAGGTTCTGGAGCTGCTGCGGGTGCTGGCGCTGAGGGTTCTGAGTCTGCTGTTGCACGGTCTCCTTGGAGTAGCCACTTTCGTCCGCGTGTGCCTCTCACGTCACAGCAGCTCCACGACTGGTACGGTCGCCGTCAGGGTCGCGCTTCTGGAGCTCGGAGTTCTGCCGCTGGAGGTGCTGCTGCTGACGTTGCTGGAGCTGGGAGTGGTACTGGTCCTTTGTCTACTGGAGGTGCTGGAGTTGCAGGTCCGGAGGTGCTCGTACTGGAGGTACTGGAGCTGCTGGGGCTGGAGGTGCTGAGCCTGCGGGTGCTACTGCTGGAGACACTGCGGCTGGAGACCCTGGGTCTGGGGGTGCTGCTGCTGGAGACACTGCGGCTGGAGACCCTGGGACTGGAGGTGCCGGTTCTGGGGGTGCTGCTGCTGGTGGAGCTGGTCCTGGAGCTGCTGGTGCTGGTGCCACTGCTCCGCCGCGACTGTTCTTCGCTCCGCCGTCTCTGTCGTCTCTGCCGCCGCCTGACACTGTACTTCGTTAGGTTCTTAGCCTCCCGTCTTCTACTGGTCTTTCGTTACAGCCTGGCTCACCGCTGCCTGCTCCTTCCCCTTACACTGAGCAGGCAGGAGGTCTTGCTGAGCGTCGTGAGCCTGCGTCGCGTCCTGTCTCGCCTGTTCGTTCTGGTCGTACCAGTCGTTATGTTCCTCGTCCGCGTTCGCCTGCTGTCCCCAGCGCGCGCCTCGTCGTCCGTCGTCCTTGTTCTGCTCCGCAGACTGTTTCTCTGCCGTCTCCTCCTGCGTCCTCTCTGCCTGACGTTGCGGACCCTGAGTCTGACCGGTTTCGTGCTGAGCACCCTACTGTCACGCGTCTGTTAGCCACTGTTGTCACTGACCCGTCGTTTGAGTCTGCTGCTGCGTCTGCCTTGGTCGCTGAGCTTGTCGACTTTGCTGCTGCCTGTCGTCTAGACTACGCTGCCAGTCTAGTTGCTGAGTCTGAGTCTGTGTGTCCTCCGTCCGTCGGGGGTGGGTGTGCTCTTGGCACGGACGTCCTTGAGGACAGGCAGGAGGAGTTTGAGTGCTTTGCCGCTGCTGTACCTCATCTCGTGTCCATGCTGCTTGCACCTGAGGGAGACCCGGATGCACCAGACATCCCGACCCCGCGCTCTTACGCTGAGGCGATCGCGGGTGAGTACTCCTCTCAGTGGCAGGCAGCCATGGACGCAAAGATGGCATCCTGGAAGTCCACAGGCACTTACGTCGACGAGGTTCCCCCTCCTGGGGCGAACATCGTCAGTGGCATGTGGATTTTCAGGGTGAAGCGGCCGCCGGGTTCTCCGCCTGTCTTCAAGGCTCGTTACGTTGCTCGAGGCTTCAGTCAGCGAGAGGGAGTAGACTTCTTCCAGACCTTCTCCCCCACCCCAAAGATGACCACTCTTCGGGTGCTACTGCACGTTGCCGCTCAGCGTGACTACGAGCTTCACTCTCTTGACTTTAGCACAGCTTTCTTGCAGAGCAGCCTGCACGAGGAGATCTGGCTGCGCCGCCCTCCTGGCTTCACTGGGTCGTTTCCTTCTGGTACCCAGTGGAGCCTCCGGCGGCCGGTCTACGGTCTCCGCCAGGCGCCACGTGAGTGGCACGACACACTGAGGACTACACTTGCAGACCCGTCACTGTTTCTGCGCACCGACACTTCGCTGCCGCCGTTCTACATCCTCGTGTACGTCGACTACTTGGTCTTTGCCACTGCTGACAGTGAGGCTCTCGCCCTGGTGAAGTCGGAGCTGCAGAAGAGACACACGTCCACATACCTGGGTGAACTGCGCAGCTACCTTGGCTTGCAGATCACCCGGGACAGAGCACGCCGCACCATCACACTGACTCAGTCACACATGGTGCAGCAGGTCCTTCAGCGCTTCGGCTTCACCTGGTCCTCAGCACAGCCGACTCCTCTGGCTACAGGTCACTCGCTCTCAGCTCCACCTTCGGACGAGTCCGTAGAGCCTAGTGGTCCTTACCCAGAGCTAGTTGGCTGCCTCATGTACCTGATGACTTGCACTCGTCCTGACCTTGCGTACCCTCTTAGCCTTCTGGCTCGCTACGTGGCTCCTGGTCAGCACCGAAAGGTGCACTAGGATGCTGCGAAGAGGGTACTACGCTACTTGTGCAGTACATCAGGCATGGGGCTTGTGCTTGGAGGGAGGAGCTCAGTTGTTCTCAGTGGGCACTCAGACGCTTCCTGGGTTGACGAGGCTACTCAGCGGTCGTCACAGGGTTACACCTTCAGCCTTGGCTCTGGTTCAGTTTCTTGGCGTTCTACACGTTCGTCTTCAGTTCTCAGCTCCAGTTGTGAGGCTGAGATCTACGCCACAGTCATGGCTGCACAGGAGTTACGCTGGCTCACCTACCTGCTGACCGACCTGGGAGAGCGGCCTCGTTCTCCTCCAGTGCTGTACGTCGACAACAAGGCTGCCATTGCCTTGTGTGAGGAGCACAGACTGGAGCACAGAACGAAGCACATCGCTCAGCGTTACTTCCTGGCTCGAGAGTTGCAGCAGCGTGGTCAGCTTCGTTTGCGTTACGTGGCCACTCGGGCCAACACTGCTGATATATTCACCAAGGCACTTCAGTCTGGTGATCATCAGCGTTTTTGCAGTTTGCTAGGGCTTTTGCCCACTTTTCCTCACTTGCTGTAGGCTTTGCTTGTACTGTGATCTATATATATATATACCTGCATGCTTGCTTTGCAAGGTGTAGATCGCTGTGATGTTTGTGTTACATATATGCCTCTGCATGTGAACTGGCCTTGTGGCCCTTTGCTTGTGCTCAGTGTGTGTGGTGATGTTGTGATCCACCCTGAGCTTGCTTTTCTTGACTGGTCTTGTGACCCCTTGCTCTCCCCCACTTTGCCTATGGGGGTTTGTCAAATGTTAGATCTGCTACAGTTTGTTTAGGCTGTAGTGGGGTAGTTACTATGGGGTACAGTAAGTTTAGTGTTTTGTACTTGTACCCAACCCTTTCCTAGTCCAATCGCCCTTGTTGATTCTGACAACCTAGGTTCACTCTGCCCTACACTGCCCCACACAGTTTCGCACTGCCCCCCGTAGCGCGCTGCCTTGCGCGTGCCGTTCGTATTGCCCCGCGTGAGCCCGTTCCACCATTCCGAGCGTTGCCTTCGCACTGCCCCGTGTGGGCCCCCCGCACCGCCCCTCCGCGCTGCCCTTCGTGCACCCCGAGCCGCACGCACTTCTTTCGCGCTGCACCGCCGCACAGCGCGCCGCCCTTTCGCGCTGCCCTAAGTGCGCCGCCGCCCCATCGTGCTGCCCGTGTGCGCTGCCGCCCCGCGCACTGCCTTCGTGCTGCCCCGCGTGCGCCGCTGCCCCGCGCGTTGCCTTCGCGCTGCCCCACGTGTGGTTGTTACCGCCCCTTCGTGTTGCTCCACATACGCCGCCGCCGCCCTTCGCGCTGCCCAGCGCCGCCCCTTCGCGCTGCCCCGCGTGCGCCGCTGCCGCTGCCTGCGTGCCGCCCCAGCCCCTTCCGCCGCTGCTGCTGCCCCTACAGCAACCGCCACTACAGCTACAGCAGCTGCCCTCGCTGCCGCTGCAGCAACACCTGCAGCAGCTGCTACAGTTGCATCTACCGCAGCCGCTACAGCAGCTGCGGCCGCTCCTGCCATTACTGCTACAGCCGCTATAGCAGTTGCGGCCGCTCCTGCCGCTGGCGCTACAGCCGCTAAGGCCGCTGCAGCTGCAGTCGCCGCAGCTGCTACAACACCACTTGTCGCAGCCACTACAGCCGTTGTGGCCGCTCCTGCTGCTGCCGCTATAGTCGTTGCAGCTGCCACCGCTCCTGCCTCTGCCGCCACAGTCGCTATAGCCTCTACAACTGCTGCAACTGCCACCGCTGCTGCTGAAGCCACTGCCGCTGCCACTACAGCTGTCACTGTCGTTACAGCCGCCCCTTGCCGTTGCAACTGCCCCTTACCGCTACCGCTACGGCTCCACCTGCTGTCGTTGCCGCTACAGCTGCCACCTATGAGCAGCCCGTTCGCCGCACCACAGTCACCCGGAAAATAGGCGATTGTGGGAGAGCCTAGGCGCAGAGTTGCACGATCAGAGAATGAAGTGCGAGGTTTACGATTCGGACTTGCTGGAAACCGGATAATAGTATTCGAAGAACAGTATACTTGGTATGCGGCAGCAGGTTTGGTATCCAGTAACGAAAGGAAAGTAATTGATTAATTGATAGATTACAACAGATACAACATGAACCTTATAGGAATCATAGTGACATGTGCGAGAACGTTCTACGAGAACGTTGTTCAAGGAGAACGTGCAAGCACCTACTCTAGTATGCGGTTCCAGGTTGGCACCGCCAGGTGAAAATACCATCAGGTGAAAATACCGTCAGGTGTATTTTCTACTTGCCCAGCACTGGTTGCGCAGGTGCTCGCAACAGACAGTTGCACATACTCGTTTGTGCAATGTCGTCACTTCCCTCCAATTCGGTTCAGTGTTGAACAGTGCATACCGAAGTGCACTATTGGAGTGTACTCGGCGAATACCGAAGCTCCGGTATGCGGTATGCGAAACCTCGCTACATTGCATAGGGCTGCTACACACGAAACCAGGCGCGTGCAGAGCTTCATCTCAACACTCCCCTGCCCTGCTCGTGCTTGAGCAACTGAGAAGTTAGCACACCACACAAAGCGAAAAGGAAATAATAGAGTACAACAGGGTGACGATACTGAGACTCGTCCGCGTGTTTTCCGCACACGCATACTCACCGCACCAACCATGTTGAAGGACATGACACCTATTCCTGCACATTGTCACGCTCGTCGTCTGCAAGATCGACTTGCCCAACATCGACAGAGCAGCGCTTGAATGGCGGGGAATGCAGCGCCTTAGTGAGATAGTCCGCGGGTTGCTAGCTAGTTGGGATGTACTTAAGCGCGATCTTCTTGCGCTTCACCATCTGCTGCAGCCAAATGTATCGCCGCTCCATGTGCTTGAGACTCCCCTTAAGCCCCAACCCTTCTGCAACCGCAATCGCAGATGAGTTGTCCACGTGGATGACGGTGGGCACCCCAGCATCCAGAATCTGAAATTCAGCGAGAAGAAAGCGCGAACGGCGCGCCTCCTTTCCGGCCTCCACTGCAGCAATGCATTCTGATTCCGTTGAGGACAGCGTCATGCACTTAATCCTCTGACTTGCCCACGAAACTGCAGCTCCGCCAAGCACGAAAACGTATCCGCTGGTACTGCTGCGAGTCTGCCTGTCACCCGCGTCATCGGAATCTGCATACCCTACCAGGCGCAGAGTATCCAGTCCTCCACTGAACTCGAGGGCGAAATCGCGGGTGTTCACCACATAGTCAATGCAGCGATCCAGCTCCCTCCAGTGCTGGTCACTACAAATCGTCAACCCTGAGCCCAACTTGCTGCATGCATATGTAATGTCGGGACGGGTCGTGGTTGCGGCAAACTGGAGCGAACCCACTTTCTGGCGGTACTCCTCCTCTTCACGCACTTGGAATTCTTCGTCGTCAAATGTCAACTCTGTGGATGCTTCACCGCGATGGCTCTGTTCTCATGTCCGTTGATGCTGCCATGCTTTAGAACCCCGAGGCTCTCTACCGCACTCTGGCGTGCAAGATGGCCGTCGGCATGCCTTTCAAGGATCTGGCCACAGTGGACAACATTCTGCTCTGCGAGTCCCCAGCCGTTGACGACAAGGAAGCGCGCCTTGCCCTGCGTAGGCTGCAGGAGGTGGGCGTGGGCGCGCTGGTGCCCGTGGAGGCCCTCGCAGCGTCGCCTCTCCCCAATGCCGTGGCTCTGCTCACCCTCGAGCAGGCCAAGCTGGGCGTGCACAAGCACCTGCCGCAAGGAGCGGCGCGCTTTGCAGTGAGTGTGCGGGGCGATGAGAGCGAGGAGGACCTCAAGGCGTTGGTGGGGCTGGACGCCGTGATGCTGCTGGCGCACGTGCCGCCGCAGCCAAAGGACAGCACTATCAGCCGCGTGCACGCCAGCCGCAGGCTGTTTGAGTTTCTGCCGTCCAATAACATCACGACACCTGTCATCCACCACATCAGCTTCCCAGACGGCACGTCCAAGGACGATCGGGTGCTGCAGTCGGGTGCCGAGGCCGGTGCTCTGCTCGTGGACGGGCTGGGAGACGGAGTGCTGCTGGAGGGGCCGAGTCACGACATGGAGTTCCTGCGCAACACGTCCTTTGGCATGCTGCAGGCTGCCGCATGCGCAACACCAAGACCGAGTTTGTGTCGTGCCCATCATGCGGCCGCACGTTGTTTGACCTGCAGGAGGTGACTGCCTCCATCTGCGAGTGCACCTCGCACCTCCCTGGCGTTGCTATCGCCATCATGGGGTGCATTGTGAACGGCCCCGGTGAGATGGCAGATGCAGACTTTGGCTACGTGGGAGGGGCGCCGAGCAAGATCGACCTCTATGTCGGCAAGGAGGTGGTGCAGCGCGGCATCCCTATGGAGGAGGCCATAGACGCCCTGGTGAAGCTCATCGAGGACCACGGCTGCTGGGTGGAGCCCGCCCAGGAGGAGGAGGTGCAGGCAGTTGCCGCCTGAACGTGCCTGCCGGTGACGCTCAGTGAAGCCCGCCCGCGCAGCAGCAGGAAGAGCATCAGCAGCAGCCCTATGGCGGCCCGAAGGAGAGTGCTGAACACGTTTGTGATTGCCGGGTGGAGATCCCAGGGAGGACGGGTAGCCATGGCGGGCCCAAGAGTCCAAGTTTTTTTTTTTCCAAAACCGGCTGGGTTGGGTGGAGAGGAGACTGCGAAGGGCTGGGGGAGTCTGAGCAGCCCGAGGGTAGTGGTATGTCCAACAGGGATGATTGTGAAGTGTGTAGTAAGGATCATGGGTACAGGATTGATTAGGGACATGGAGAAACTGATTGCATCTTGTGTGTGAGCCTTGTCCTCTATATTTTTTCTTGTGTCAAAAAAAAAAAAAAAAAAAAAAAAAAAAAAAAAAAAAAAAAAAAAAAAAAAAAAAACACATCTCCACTTCGCTAACCAAGTGGGCTAAAAGGGCATGTTTACTTGGTGGGTCAGCGCACCCATACCCTCCCAGGACGACACCTGTAGCCCTTGGGAAGACCACTTTGGGCCATTCCAGTGTCCATTTCCAACACTCCCCTCGCTGGGAAGGCCCATCACTAGGGCACAGGAAATCTGCCGACAACAGGAATTGAATTCAAGTCTACCCCACTTCTCCACCATGTCCAGTTTGCTAACCAACTGGGCTAAAAGGGCATGTTTACTTGGTGGGTCAGCGCACCCATACCCTCCCAGGACGACACCTGTAGCCCTTGGGAAGACCACTTTGGGCCATTCCAGTGTCCATTTCCAACATCTACAACTGCTGCAACTGCCACCGCTGCTATTGAAGCCGCTGCCACTGCCACTACAGCTGTCACTGTCGTTACAGCCGCCCCTTGCCGTTGCAACTGCCCCTTACCGCTACGGCTCCACCTGCTGCCGTTGCCGCTACAGTTGCCACCTATGAGCAGCCCGTTCGCCGCACCACAGTCGCTGCTGCCCTTGCGACAATGCCGCCCTTGCACCGCTGCTGCTAAGCCCGATTGCCTACCATGGCAACCCCTACTGTACTGACCTTTGACGCCGCCCGATCGAGTTTGAGTCCCAGCTTCTAGACCTTCACTTGTACCTGCAGAGCGTTACCAAGGACGATGCCTCGCTTTTTTAACACACATTAAGACCCCTTTCTGCCTTTCCTGAGGCTACTCACCCTGGTCCTAGCGCTAATGAGGCTGAGCGACAGAATTTTAAGAGTGACTGCGATACCCGTACCCAAATATCAACACGCGACGCCACTCTTCAGCTTGCAGTCCGCTCTCACCTCCCACTGGACCAGCGGCCCTACTTTCGCCAGCTGAAAATGGCCAAAGCGCTCTATGACGCTGTAGTTAAGCACTACTCCTCCCCCTCTTCTGCCACCCAAGGTCGTCTTTTGCTTCCGTTTCTCTTTCCCGAGCTGTATGACTTCCCCACTGTTGCTGACCTTATCACCCACCTGCGCTCCCTTGACACTTGCTATTGTGCTGCTCTCAAGCAAGACTTTTCGTTGAGAACCCCCCCCGCCCTATGTTCATCACTCTCTACTTCCTCACGACCCGCCTCCCTGACTCTCTCCGCGCCGTTCGAGACCACTTCCTCTCCCCATACCCCACTGACCTCACCCTTGCCTCTTTTGAGACCCGTCTCGTTGAGGTCGAGACCAGTGATCGCACTGTAGCTGCCTCCCGTGGTACCGCCAGCACCTCCTTCTTTGAGGGGTGCTCCCCTTCCCTCCTAGCGCCTGCTGTTGCCTCTGCTGTTGCTGCTGCTGACTTCCTTGGAGCTGAAGAGGTTGGTGCTGCGTCTGCCCCGAGCGGGAGGCACTACGGCAGGGGTGGGCATACGAGGGGTGGGGGCGGTGGGGGTGCTGGGGGGGGCATTAGCAGTGGCAAGGGCGGGGGCGGTGGTGGTGGTAGTGATGGGGTTGGTGGAGGTGGCCGTGGCGTGGGTGGTGGAGGCGGTGGGGGTGGTGGAGGGGGTGCGGGTGGCGGTCGGGGTGGAGCTGGCCGGGATGGAGGCTCGGGCGCAGCTACCCGAGGAGTTGCGTATGTTGGAGGTGGCGGGGGTGGGCAGCAGCAGCAGCAGCCACGTCGGCAGGAGACTCTCTCGCCGTAGCAGCTTCGTGAGTGGGTTGGCCAGCGCAGCGGCATCGGCAGGCGTGGGTCGTTGCCAGTACCGCAGACGCATCGGCCGCCCTGGAGAGGTCTGCAGCATGCAGGGGCATACTGAGGCTCGCTATTTTTAGTGCCTCAATGGCGCCTTTCGCGTGGAGTTTGGTGAACAGGCCAAGATTTCTGACTGTTTGGCTTTGCTCAAGAATGGTGTGGATGTATTTTCTCTTACTTGGGACCGGAACTCTATTGTCATATATGCTATGGGACTCCTCATGTATGTAAGTTGCTGAAGAGTCTGTATGGCCTCAAGCAAAGCCCGATGCTGTGGTATGAGGCCTTGGATGGGGTGCTGCTTGGGGCTGGATGGAAGAAGAGCCCGGTAGATGAGGCTCTGTACTTCAAGAATGATGCTGAAGGTGAGATGTGCTGGTTGCTGGTGTATGTGGGTGATTTGCTTGCTGCCAGAAATAGTCAGAGCATGCTGGGGGACCTGCGTGAGCTGCTGCAGAATGCGTTTCAGCTGCGGGAGATTAGCCCTGTGGAGAGTATCTGGGGTTGCATCTGATTCGGGACAGGCCTACGAGGAGGCTGTGGCTGCACCAGGGGGCCTATGTAGACAGGGTCCATAGGCGCTTTTTCGACGGGGAGCATGTCAACGGGAGTTGTGTGTTGGCCCCGTCCTGCACAGGGCCACTGCAATGCCGCCAACTATGGGAAGCCGGTGGATGACTTCAAGTGGTGGTCGACGATGGGGCTCGTCGATTTGAAAGTTGGCGCCGACTTCAGGAGGTCGACCTGGAGGGGCGCCGACTTGGGGGGGCACCAACCTGGGAAGCCGACTTGGTGCACTCGGCGAACAGCAGGTCTGGTCGGCCAGAACTGGTCGACCTGGGGAATGGCCGGCTTAGTAAAGTCGGCTGGAGGACGTCGACCTAGGTGGTCGCCGGGCATGTACAGCAGCTGGTCGACACCGGCCACACAAGTCGACGCCGACTTGGTGGTTGCCCGGTCGACCAGGTTACCCGGGTGACGGGCATCTGCGGAGGTGCGCGATTGTCGCCCAGGTGGTTCTGGCGAAGCCGGCCTCAAAAGTGGCATCCCGAGGTCGACGTGGCTTATTAGATGCAGTCAACAGCACGTGGATGACTTGGTGTCTGCGTTGTGCACTTGACGATGCACAACACGCCAATCAACTGCGAGCACCTGCGAAGTAGGTGCGCTGCTGTTATGCAGGTGCAATGCTGTGCAGCCCCCGCCGCACGTTGGCACGCCGTCGACTTTCAGCGTTGGCACACCACGACTTTGCACTGTTGGAGTGTGGTCGACCTTGCAGTGCTGGAACGCGGTCGACCGTGCTACGCTGGCAGTCGACCTGCTTGCATGCTTGCTAGTATCTGATGTAGTCTTGCTTACCAACTTTGTTGCTCTCATAGGAGGGCATGGCAATCCTGATGAGATGCTGCAAGGCATGGCAATCCTGGTGAGATGCTGCAGGGCGTGGTAATCCTGGTGAGATGCTGCAGGGCGTGGCAATCCTGGTGAGATGCTGCAGGGCAGGGCAATCCTGGTGAGATGCTGCAAGACATGGCAATCCTGGTGAGATGCTGCAGGGCAGGGCAATCCTGGTGAGATGCTGCAGGGCAGGGCAATCCTGGTGAGATGCTGCAGGGCAGGGCAATCCTGGTGAGATGCTGCAGGGCAGGGCAATCCTGGTGAGATGCTGCAGGGCAGGGCAATCCTGGTGAGATGCTGCAGGGCAGGGCAATCCTGGTGAGATGCTGCAGGGCAGGGCAATCCTGGTGAGATGCTGCAGGGCAGGGCAATCCTGGTGAGATGCTGCAGGGCAGGGCAATCCTGGTGAGATGCTGCAGGGCAGGGAAATCCTGGTGAGATGCTGCAGGGCAGGGCAATCCTGGTGAGATGCTGCAGGGCAGGGCAATCCTGGTGAGATGCTGCAGGGCAGGGCAATCCTGGTGAGATGCTGCAGGGCATGGCAATCCTGGTGAGATGCTGCAGGGCAGGGCAATCCTGGTGAGATGCTGCAGGGCAGGGCAATCCTGGTGAGATGCTGCAGGGCAGGGCAATCCTGGTGAGATGCTGCAGGGCAGGGCAATCCTGGTGAGATGCTGCAGGGCAGGGCAATCCTGGTGAGATGCTGCAGGGCAGGGCAATCCTGGTGAGATGCTGCAGGGCAGGGCAATCCTGGTGAGATGCTGCAGGGCAGGGCAATCCTGGTGAGATGCTGCAGGGCAGGGCAATCCTGGTGAGATGCTGCAGGGCAGGGCAATCCTGGTGAGATGCTGCAGGGCAGGGCAATCCTGGTGAGATGCTGCACGGCAGGGCAATCCTGGTGAGATGCTGCAGGGCAGGGCAATCCTGGTGAGATGCTGCAGGGCAGGGCAATCCTGGTGAGATGCTGCAGGGCAGGGCAATCCTGGTGAGATGCTGCAGGGCATGGCAATCCTGGTGAGATGCTGCAGGGCATGGCAATCCTGGTGAGATGCTGCAGGGCAGGGCAATCCTGGTGAGATGCTGCAGGGCAGGGCAATCCTGGTGAGATGCTGCAGGGCAGGGAAATCCTGGTGAGATGCTGCAGGGCAGGGCAATCCTGGTGAGATGCTGCAGGGCAGGGCAATCCTGGTGAGATGCTGCAGGGCAGGGCAATCCTGGTGAGATGCTGCAGGGCAGGGCAATCCTGGTGAGATGCTGCAGGGCAGGGAAATCCTGGTGAGATGCTGCAGGGCAGGGCAATCCTGGTGAGATGCTGCAGGGCAGGGCAATCCTGGTGAGATGCTGCAGGGCAGGGCAATCCTGGTGAGATGCTGCAGGGCAGGGCAATCCTGGTGAGATGCTGCAGCGCAGGGCAATCCTGGTGAGATGCTGCAGGGCAGGGCAATCCTGGTGAGATGCTGCAGGGCAGGGCAATCCTGGTGAGATGCTGCAGGGCAGGGCAATCCTGGTGAGATGCTGCAGGGCAGGGCAATCCTGGTGAGATGCTGCAGGGCAGGGCAATCCTGGTGAGATGCTGCAGGGCATGGCAATCCTGGTGAGATGCTGCACGGCAGGGCAATCCTGGTGAGATGCTGCAGGGCAGGGCAATCCTGGTGAGATGCTGCAGGGCAGGGCAATCCTGGTGAGATGCTGCAGGGCAGGGCAATCCTGGTGAGATGCTGCAGGGCAGGGCAATCCTGGTGAGATGCTGCAGGGCAGGGCAATCCTGGTGAGATGCTGCAGGGCAGGGCAATCCTGGTGAGATGCTGCAGGGCATGGCAATCATGTCCCCTCTCTCTCCCAGCCCTCTCCTCCCGTGCCTGTGCGCACCATCTCCAGGTGGTGGACAACAACGCTATCTCTTATCTCTCTCCACTACCCCCTCTCCACTACCCCCTCACCCTGCCCTATGCATCCACCACGTGATGGACGGCAGCGCCATCAACCGCATGCCATCTCCGTCCCACCGATTCTCATCCCAGGTGGTGGACGACAACGCCATCTCTGTCCCTCCGTGCTCATCCCTTCTCTTTCTCCCCTCCCTGTACCCCTGTGCGGCACCAGGTGGTGGACGACAGTCTGATCAACCGTCCTGCCTGCCTGCTTGCCCCTCGCCCTGTGACCAACAGTAACCCGCCCTGTGACCCCCTGTAACCCCGCCCTGTGACCCCCTGTAACCCCGCCCTGTGACCCCTGTAACCCCGCCCTGTGACCCCCTGTAACCCGCCCTGTGACCCCCTGTAACCCCGCCCTGTGACCCCCTGTAACCCCGCCCTGTGACCCCCTGTAACCCGCCCTGTGACCCCCAGTAACCCGCCCTGTGACCCCCTGTAACCCCGCCCTGTGACCCCCTGTAACCCGCCCTGTGACCCCCTGTAACCCCGCCCTGTGACCCCCTGTAACCCCGCCCTGTGACCCCCTGTAACCCGCCCTGTGACCCCCTGTAACCCCGCCCTGTGACCCCCTGTAACCCCGCCCTGTGACCCCCTGTAACCCGCCCTGTGACCCCCTGTAACCCCGCCCTGTGACCCCCTGTAACCCGCCCTGTGACCCCCTGTAACCCCGCCCTGTGACCCCCTGTAACCCCGCCATGTGACCCCCTGTAACCCCGCCATGTGACCCCCTGTAACCCGCCCTGTGACCCCCTGTAACCCGCCCTGTGACCCCCTGTAACCCGCCCTGTGACCCCCTGTAACCCCGCCCTGTGACCCCCTGTAACCCCGCCATGTGACCCCCTGTAACCCCGCCATGTGACCCCCTGTAACCCCGCCCTGTGACCCCCTGTAACCCCGCCCTGTGACCCCCTGTAACCCCGCCCTGTGACCCCCTGTAACCCCGCCCTGTGAAACCCTGTAACCCCGCCCTGTGACCCCCTGTAACCCCGCCCTGTGACCCCCTGTAACCCGCCTTGTGACCCCCTCGTGCTGCCCAGGTGGTGGACGACAACGCCATCAACCGTCCTGCTTGCCTGCCTGCATCCCCGTCCCACCGTTCTCATCCCCTCTGCACCGCCCGAGCCCGTCCCTTTCAACTGGCGGGTGATCAACGACTGGCGGGTGGCAGCGAGCACGCTGGCGCGGTACGGGGCGGAGGTGGCACTGGCAGAGTCGGGCGAGGCGGCGCCGCGCCTGCTGCAGGCAACCCACTCCTTCCGCCTCGTGCTCATGGACCTCCACATGCCTGCCCTCGACGGGTGCGTGTGTCCATAACTGCCTCTGTGCTTCTGTGCCTGTCTGCCCTTCGGCCTGTGTGCCTGTGTTCCCGTCTGCCTGTCTGCTAGTGTGCTTGTCGCCAGCCATCTCGCTTTCCTCTTCACTCATTCACACACAACTCTTTCGCCCACCTCCCCCATTCCTCCCTCGGCATGCTGCACGCATGTCACGCACCAAGCAGGCACGAGACGGTCACACGGCTGAGTGGTGTGGAGCGGGAGTCATGAGGCGGGGAGGCAGGGGGTGAGCGGCGTGTGAGGGTGGTGGCCATGTCAGCAGATGTGGACAGCACTATGGTGGCATGTGCTGCTCTGGTGGGCATGGATGGGGCCGTGCAGAAACCACTCAATGAGAACCAACTCTTGGCTGTCATGAGAACACTTCAAATGTAATGCAATGCAACTCTTCCTAATTGAGCTTATCATAAACATACACAACATGATTTCAACCACTAAACTCCCCCAGCTAACCACCAGCACCCATGGTTACAATGAGGGGTCGTTTATTATGCGGAACAACCTGTCCAGTGTACCACCCCTTGAAAGAGTGGCAGGCGTGGCGTGGCGTGCATGCTGGCAAGCAACTCCCAGTGAACGAGTTTCCTTCCCTTCCGACTGGCTCTCCTCTCCAGCCGCAGCTTCCTCCTGCCTCAACAACCAAACATCCGTTTGCGTGCAATTGCCGGCAGGCGAAACGGTTCAATGCGCGATTGACCATCTCACCGCCCTCGCCTCTCACCCTCCTCCCCTCCCCTGTCAACCTCAGAACAGCTGCGGCACGCAGGTCTGGTCCGACACGGGTGGTCGCACATGAAAGTCCTGCTGCAGTGGCGGCAGGGCCACACTGCAGGGCAGAGGCAGGTCCTCATAGGGGATGAGCGCCAGCAGGTGCGCCAACACATTCAGCCGCGCACGCCTCTCATCGTCCGCCGCCACCACGAACCACGGCGCCTGCTTGACGTCGCAGAAGCCAAACATTACGTCCTTGGCATACGAGTACTCCGCCCACCGCGCCCGCGCCTCCACGTCCTCCGCACTCACCCTCCACCGCTGCTCAGGCCGCGCCAGCCGCTCCCGAAACCGCCGCTCCTGCTCCTCAGGGCTCACTGACACCCAGTACTTGACGAGGATGATGCCAGAGCGCACCAGCATGCGCTCAAACTCGGGGCACGAGCGCAGGAAGTCTCGGTACTCTGCTTCGGAGCAGAGGCCCTTCACGTGCTCCTCGCCTGCACGTGCATACCAGCTGCGGCCCAGCAGCACCATCTCGCCGGCGGCAGGCAGGTGAGCGACGAAGCGCTGGAAGTACCACTGCGTGCGCTCGCGGTCGGAAGGGGCGCCCAGCGCCGTGACGCTGCACACGCGCGGGTTAAGCGGCCCTGCGATGGCGCTCATGAGGTCGCCCTTGGCTGCTTCGTCCCGCCCCTCGAAGAGTACCACCACTCGCAGCCCCTTGCGGGAAATCCACTCCTGCAGCTTCACCAGCTCACCCTGAGGGGACGGATAGGAGGGAGAAGTGGAGAAGAGGAGGTGTGAGGCGAGGACAGACGGAGAAGAAGGAGGCGGGGCTGGAGAGGGCAAGAGACAGCTCGTGTGCGTTGGGGGGTGGGCAGACTCATTGCTGGAAGTAGATGCTGAAGAGACGGGATATGAGGTCCTGGGGGTAAGTGGTTCTGGGTACGAGGTTCGGAATATGAGGTCCGGGATAAGAAGTCCGGGATATGAAGTCCAGGATACGAGGTTCGGGATCTGAGCGCGTGAGGGAGTGTGCGTGGGAAGGTGGAAGGCAAAAGCGAGGGAAGGGATCAGAGGGTGCTTGAAGTGCAGTCCCTCGCATGGCTTACGGCGCACCCGCCATTGCCCCATCTTAGGGGAATCATCTCGGGCGCTGCCTCATCCTGCCGCTAGTCCCCCCCTCATATCCCCTGCCACGCCGATTCGCCCCTCCAAGCGCTGCCCATACGCGCGTGTCGTCTCACCTGCAGTCGCGCGAGCTCCTCGTCGTAGTCGTACCCGCCCCTCCTTGCCCCGCCATCCCTCGCCGCAGCCATGGCGTGCGACTCCGCGTCGTACGGGTAGTGCGCGCGCCGCTCCACGCGCTCCTCTTCCAGCATCTCCACTCTCGCCCGCTTCTCCCCGCCGCCACTCTTCAACCCTGGAACCGCCGTCTCCACGCGCCCCGCCTCGAGTATACCTACTCTCGATCGCTCCTCCCTGCTGCCAACATTCAAGCCTGAGACAGCCTTTTCCACGCGCGCCGCCAACGTGGCCATCGCGGCGCCATTCATGGCGTCCATCTTCCAGGCTTTCTTCTTCCCGCCATTCTTCTTCCCGCCCTCTTTCTCCGAGTCGCTGAGTGCCACATCGACGTGGTGGTAAACGCGAGGCGCCCACTGGAGGTGCTGGTGGTGAACCGTGTCGCGTCCGCTGAGAGCCAATGAGAACTCCCGGCGCTTCGTCGCCTGCTTTGTGGCCCCTTCAGACTTTTTTGCCGCAACGCGCAAGAACAGGGAGCCGTTGCTCCGCGCTGCCGGCTCACGGCACGGTGACGCGGGGAGGGGCGGTTGCGCGCATGGCCCAGGTGGGTGCAGTCGGTGCGCTTCTTGTCTGAGCCGAGCCGCTGCCCATTCTGCGGACAGCGGATTCATCGGCGAGACTGCCGCCCGCGAGATAGCTGGTTGAAACGCGCACATTGCGGCGCGATCCGCGAAGCGGCCGAAGCGTGACGGGATCAAGGTGGTACGCAGAAAGCGGCGCAGTTGCAGAGTGGCGGAGGGAGCAATTCAAGGAGCGGTGCAGGCTGGCAGCGCTGGCAGGTCGACACTTTTAAGGCTTGCTTGTGCGCGCCCTCCTTACTCCTGGCGCTCCTTCTGTCGATCCTTCTGTCGATCCTTCCTGTTTCGTTCGATGATTCTTAAATCGGTTGCTCAAAGTTGCTGTGTGGAATTACATTCGTGTCCAGGGTGTACGTAGAGTGCATTCCGACTTGCCGGGCGATTCCGTGGTCTAAAGCGCCACAATTGTCTATAAAATACCATAAATAGTCGGAGGAGGTGCGTCGTGTGGCAGAAATGGCGTGAATGTGAGTAAAGGTGAATGTGAATGTGAGTATGAAGCGTGAGGCGTTGGTGAGAGAAGATGGTGAGGTGGTCGAGGAGGAGGGGAAGGTTCAGGTCAGGTCAGGATTCAGGAGGGCAGGGAGGGAAGGAGTGATTGCGGTAGTTGGAGCGAGCGATGCGACATGACGTGCGTGCTGGTGGCGACTTCGGAAAGCGAGTTCCAACTAGCCAAGGCACGATATTAGCGGACCAGTTACGCGCCTCGGCGAAAATTCTTCGCGCAGAACAGCTATGTTGCCTCGCAGTTCCCGATTGTGCTTCCTTTTGTAATTCGCGACAAATGGCATGAGGCTTCGTTTAACGAAGCTGGCATGAGCCGTGGCGAATATACGCGAATAGTTCATAAGGGGAAATTTTGCAGAGCCAAGGCGAGTACAGGTCAGCAGTGACCGTTGAAAGCGGAGGTCGTTGAGAAAGGAATATTCTTTTGCGACGGGATATCGCGGACTCAGCAAAAAGTGCAGCCGCGTGGAAAATGCGACAAATCATATTTGGGCAAATGTATATTCCACCACTCCGTTACAAAAGGGACCGTTACGGACACTACCGAGTAAGCACACTACACCGAACTCAAATGGTCAAATCGCTTATCATGACTTGTCTGGCTAGCATATCAGCTCCACTAATTCTCTAAATGGCAATCAGGTAATGATGGGCCATGGAAGAGAGATGACGAGAGAAGTAGAAGGGATACCCACTTGAGAACACAGCTCATCAGTCAAATACGCTGACTTGCCTCTACTTAAGCTGAGGTGGCCTCACTCACCTGAGTGTCGCCAGAGAGTTGGGCGGACTGATGCAGCAGCGCCATGCCCTGCAGCACACACGGGCTGCAGTCACGCAGGCACGATCCCAGAGAGAGATTCAACAGCGCCACTCCTGGCAACAGTAGGCAGCACGTGAGTGGGAGAGAGAGAGAGCAAGAGAGACAAGAGGGAGGAGGGTCGTGACAGCATGGAGGCACGCTATTGTCACATGAGCTAATCGGCACACTGCAGACGAGAGGTCTCAGAGTTGCACCCACGAAAACACCACCCCAACCCCCCCAACCACCCGATCCCTCCTCCCACACCCCCCCCGCCTCCTCACCTTCCTACATCGACACACCAAGCCCCCCCAAATGTACCATAGCAGAGGCAGATGAGGGGGTCATGGGGCTGCAGGCGGTGAGCACGCAGGTACTCGAGGCAGGCGGCCTGCATGTGTCCGCGCAGCGTATGGTGGTGGTCTGACACCAGCACGGCTGCCACGTACGCTGGGTCCTCGCCGCATGCGCATCTGCTGCAGGAACTTGGCCCGCCGGTCGTTGCTCTCCGTGCCCCTACAGGGAGGAGAGGGGAGCAGCCATGGTGGAAGTACGGAGGGGTGATGGGTGCCTCGTGTGCTTGTGGTAGTGGAGCTTTGGATGTGTGTGGGCTTGTGTGGGTGTGTGCGTGTGTGTCTCTGGGTGTGTTTGTGACAAATAGAGACGATGGTCCGTGCACCCTGTTGGTATATTGGTCAGTCCATGAGAGTGGTCGCACATGACAGAGTGGCAGACATGAGCAACGGACCACATAGCGCACTTGAGGGTAAGGCAGCACACAACGCACTGGAGGGTGAGGGAGTGGAAGAGCAACCAACCGCGGATGCTGTGAGGCTGCTCGCTGATGATGGCCCGCGCCACCTCCAACTGCAGCATGCCGCTTGCCTCCTCTGCACACCCAGGACACCACGTGGCATGGGAAGTGCTCAGTTGCCGCAGGTGGTCAGGCAGGGGCTATTAGCGAGGGCATGAGCGGGACAAGGTAGCAGCAGCATAGATCAGCAGAGGACATGATGTGAGGGAAGGCCCGGGTGTTCACCAACAATGCCTGACTGCAGCTGCTTCGAGGCTTGGGAAGGTTCCGTGAAATATCCGTCTCAACGAGGCGATCAGTTTCCGTGGGGCGGAGGGAGAGAGTAGGTCGCTGAGAGCTCTCATGCAACGGCCACGGAGCTCATGCTTGGTGAAGGGAGGGTGGTGGCGGCACCGTGGTAGCAGCAGGGAGCGGGAACACGATGGTCAAGCAGCACTGCTCTAGCATCCACCATCCATCTCATCAAAGCTTCCACGATGCAAGGGTTCTAACGTGAGGGGAAGTACTGTAAAATGGTGACAGTGCCAGGCACTACAGGGTAAGACAAAGGAAGTAGGAAGGAGGGAGGAGGGAGGATAGAGGGAGGAAGAGGCATGAAGGGGGAGGCAGAGGCGCACCTTGAGCAGCAGGCAGAACTGCTGGTCGTCTGAGAAGATTCCAGGAAGCGGTTCGTCGACGTCTTTCAGCCCCAAGTCGCTCAGCTGTGCCGCGCCCAGGGGGGGGGGGGGGGGGGGGGGGGGGGGGGGGGGGGGAGGGGAGGGCGGGATGGGGTTCAGAGAGGGGGAATGACGAGGGGAGGGGCGAGGGGGCTCAGAGAGGAGGGCTCGACCAACAGACGATCCAAGTCGCTCAGCTGTCAGCAGCGCCCAGGGGGGATGGGAGGGCGGGATGGCGTTCAGAGAGGAGGGCGGCCGAGAGGAGAGGATAGGGGGTTCAAAGAGCAGAGGATAGGGGGGTCAGAGAGGAGAGGATAGAGGGGTCAGACAGGAGAAGATAGTGGGGTCAGAGGGGAGGGGAGGTGGAGTTGTGAGTGCATCGGACAAAGGACAAACTCCTCTCGAAATTTCTGGTAGTACTTCGGCTGTTTGCTGGGAGATCCCTGGCAATAGGCCAGGCGCGATTGTGGGTCAACAGAATCGTGTGGCAGGTACTCCAAAGATATTGGGGGAACGCTGTCGCTGAATCTGCGGGACGACTGCTGGAGGCTCTTCGTGTGTTGCTAGTTTCGAAAAGCGCGTTACCACAATTCGTCCTCCTCTCAGAACATTCGACGAAACATTTCGGTAACCTAACTGGAGTCGCGCCCAAGATTGTTGGGTTATTTTTTAGCACTCGAGTCTGTCATAGTAACGGTTGATGTTGGTAACCATTGGGATTTGCTTCGATTGAAATCACTCACTAAAAGGATACACCCGACTCAATATTGAAATATATACACCCAGCTAATTAGTAGGTAATTTAATATTTCCCTATACAAAAAAGAAAACACAATAAACAAAGAGCGATTAAATATAGGGCATTTAAATTCAAATCAGGTGCCTGAATTAGAAAAGATAATTACATCAATCACATACAAAATATCTCACTACACATTGCTGTTACCATTGCTAGGATGCTCCAAACCATCATTATTCCAATCCTTCAGAGCTACACCACCCAAGTCATAAAACCCATTCTCAGATCTGATCCTGGCTTTGTTGAGCCAATTCAAAATTTGATCCTGCCTCTTGTCCATCTCCCTCATGTTGATGGTGCTGTCGGGAGACAAGCTGGCTGTTCCTCTGAGCATGCTGTGCTCCACCTGAAAGGCACATATCATACCATGAGACAAAACAAACAACAGTTGTAAACAGAATGATTACAACCAGGAAAGCACATATCATATCATGAAACCAAAAACCCAATTGATAAAATTACTAACTCACTGCTAGAAACATGTAGAACATCTGATCGATGGTGAGCGCAACAATTGCTGGCTCATCCTTGTACCACGAGGCAGCCGCCTCATTGAACGCATCGCTGGAAAATGGTGTTTCGTCAAGAGCATGCCATGGTACGCCATAATCCTCTGAAATGATGCACCGCAATTTTGGTCAGCACTTTTTAAGCTTTTAAGGTGAACAAAACACAATCTAAACAAATACCTGTCCAGTTGTCTATGGCATACTTGCGCCGCGCGTCTGCTGTGTTCAGAAGTCGCGCCCCAAACATGTCACACAGAAGTGGGTAAGCCACTTCACGAACTTGGTACTCAACTTCCCCCTACAACCGTTACCTTGGGTAACAATCTTAGCACCCACCCCGTCATTGCACCACAAGGACTCGAAATAGCGAAGCTCCTTGTCTAGCACGTCGAGGTTAGTAATGAGCTCCGCCTTGTAGTCCCTTTCCTAAGGATATATCATCCTCTTCGACAACTTCGGCCCGTTGAGGAACATGTCCACAACATCACGTGTCGATGCCTGCAGCAGGAAAACATAAAGTGGTTAGAATCAAATATTTAATGAGGACATTAAAACAGAGCGAAAACGTGAGATCAAAGCGTGTGTATATTTATCTTAGCTTCGTCGGCACAAGGGGGTTTGATCAGGTGGATCATCAGCTCTTTCAGCATGTCCATCATCTCCCGTTGACTCCTATCCGAGGCAGCAAGCCGACTCTCCAAGCGAGTCAGCGTCTCTCCAAGCTTACGAACGGCGTTGCGGAGCTCCGTTTCAGAGCTGGGTCTGAAGTTATTCGCCTCTCTGTGAAAGATGTTGTGTTCGGAGGCTGGAACCTGTTCTGTAGAAGTTTAAACAACACGATAACATTATCAGGGTTATAGAACCAGGATGTGTGGCAAAGCATTATAACTAATACCCATGACTCATTCACATTTTTCAACTTGCATCGCAGCAAGTTCAGCAAGTG